ATCCAATAATACTTCAGGGACACATAAAAGTTTATATACAGCTTTCCTCCCCTTCCAAATTCAGCCTCCCAACGTTGATTTTTTTTTTTTTTTTTTTTAGAAACTGTCAAAAGCAGATCATTCAGTATGACAGAATTGGTGTTTTGAGAAAAAATAAAATAAATCTGAGTAGAATTTTGCATTCCAATTTTAGGATACCAAATAATCTTAAAAAGCCATATTCAGCATTATTAGAAGTATAACAATTCTCTAATTTGTCTTTAATTAAGAGTTCTCTCATTAACTATCTTCTTTAGTCAGTCTTGGTCTGAACAGGCTACATTACATACATTCTATGAAATGGGATTTTTGGCTGATTCCAATTAATCAATACTGCAAGTGTCTGAATATAGGATTACAAACAATTATTTAAATGTTCAAGTCTCTGAATCCTATCTGCTGAATTCTCCCATCAATAAAGATTAGCAAACACAATCCAAGCCATATTTAACAAACACCACAGAAGAAGCTAGAAGCCATCACTGTAGCAGATAGGAAGAATAAAACAAAATACTGGCTGGCATGGGAATAATAGTAAGAGGACATGCTGTGCAAGAGTTGGAAACATGCTTTGTCCAAGCTTTGGTATCTTGTACAAATTCCCAAAGAAGCAAGAAATAACCATGTATAATCAAGGACAAGAATTCTCTTTTCCTAAATCTAATACTGTTGGTAATACAATATGCAGGAAAAAGTAATCTTATGTGCACAAATCAATGTAATAAATTACTTGTTTGCCATCTCTAAGAGAACAGGTACAAAGCACTCTTCAGCTGGTTGGGATTTTTTTTCTATATACTCCAGGTCACTGTTTCTTCTACTCTTATGTGTACTACATAAGTGATCCACATTTAATGACCACTCATTCAGTGACCATTCAAATTTAAGATGGCGCTGAACATGTAGTAGTTATGACTGTACCTTGTACAGGTAGTTCTTGATTTATAACAGTTCATTTAGTGACTGTTCAAAGTTACAACAGCACTGAAAAACTTATGACCGTTTTTCATACTTAACCACTGCAGTATCCTCGTGCTCATGTGATCAAAATTTGGATGCTTGGCAACTGCCTCATACTTATGACAGTTGCAGTGTACAGGGTCAGGTGATCACCTTTTGTGACCTTCTTCTAAGAAAATTAACGGGGAGGCCAGATTCACTGAACAACTACATTACTAACATTTCAGTTAAAATAACCTTTCTCTGTTTGACTTCCAGAATTTTTGACAGACAAATAACAAGTCTTCAATACTGACAATCCTGGTTGAAGCTGACGACACTTGAATAGAACATCTAGATGGTTTAAGTTGGGGTAAACCTCACTAGACAGTCACTTGTCTGAAACGGTATAGGTTCTCCTGCTCGAGCAGGGGGCTGGACTAGAAAACCTCCAAGGTCCCTTCCAGCTCTATTCTATTCTATTCACCAGAAAATTGTCTTTAATGCCCTAAAAGTCCTCCTAAGAAAGACTGTTAATGAGGAATATATGGGATTAGGTTGGAGGTGCATAGGGATGATGGTTATTAGCTTGATGCTCCAGATAAGGTTAAATAGACATTGTGTTGCACTAAGTGAACTCTTAGTCTGGGCTGCAGGATTCTACAAAGCTCTTGCATCTTGAGAGATAGAACATGCTCCTGTGGTTCATGTGTTTTAAAATAAATATGTGACACAAGTGAAACAGAATGGCCTTTCACCAAGCTGTTGTATCACAATATATTCTGTGTTAAGAAAGCTATTGCTTTGCAGTAGTTTCCAATTTAACAGCTCTTACCAGCACTTCATCTGAGTCATGCCAGAAGCGCCACAAAATCCAGAACCACATGAAACTACTGGCTGCTTCACCAATTATTACTGAGAACTGTGGTGGTGGTACAAATTGGCGGTAGTGACTATTAACATGTACATCTTCACTTGCCCTGCAAGACAAATACAAAGCAGTGAGCAGTCCTTTAATTTCAGTTGTGTATGTTTAGCAGAATAACAAGGAAATTGCAAAATAAGGTACTGAATGCAGGATTTTACTAAATGGGAATCCCCACTGTACTGCTTCATGGGACAGATGAGAAAACAGAGTGGCATAAAGTAGCTTTCTGTGACAGATTTGACTGGAATTAAACAATTTCAAAACAACATATTCTGTATTTTGCCATTTATAAGCATACACCCAAAACACAATGCCACATTTCTAAAATGCTTTAGAGCAGGGGTTCTCAACCTTGGCAACTTTAAGACTTGTGGACTTCAACTGGCTGAGGAATTCTGGGAGTTGAAGTCCACAAGTCTTAAAGTTGCCAAGGTTGAGAACCCCTGTTTTAGAGCATTCAGTACATCATACATTAGCTAACTAATCTTTGCTACCACTTACAGATGGATTTGTATTTTTACTATGATGGAAGAAAGAGGAGAAAAAGGAGAGAATTTAGAGAAGAAGAAAGAATTATTTTACAAGTATTTACTTCTGCAAAAGGCACCAAAATAAACTTCTGTAAAGTAGGAATATCCATTCCCATTTCACTGAGGCAGTATAATGTTTCAGAACCTACTAAGCCTCACTTCCTTGTACAAACCAAGATCTTTCTTTTACTTTGTGGCTACCTTGGATGCATATAACTAGGCTTGATTGTTATTATCTGTGTGATAGGCAGGTATATTTTCCTCTATAACTTTGGCAGAGAAACAATTACCATGTATCTGACACCCAATACGTTTATGCCTTTTAATATTCTTAATGAATGTATTTGTGTATGTGCACCTTCAAGTCCAATTTTGATTCCTGCCAATTGCCTGGACTAGTTCCTGAAGACTTTTTGGTAAGGTTTTGCAGAAGTGGCTTGCCACTGCAGGCTCCATAGAGCTGAGAGAGTGACTGGCTAAGGTCAACCAGCCGGCCTCACGTCTAAGACAGGTTCTAGCTTGGTGCCTTAAACATGCACAAAACATGCACAAAGCTTGTTCATAGGAGAGTAAAAGTTTCCCTTCTTTCCAAGTTTGCATGTTTGCCGTCTACAATATATGTTTGGAATCTATGCTGTTGCTTTTTCCTTTCCCATCGGAAGTGTTAAAAATTAATCTCTTCAAATGCTTGCAAGAAACAAAAGAACACATAAAGCAGCACACTGATCTCTAGTATCATTGTGTATAACTCTAGGCCTAGTATGTATGTGTTTGAATTTATTTATTTGAATTCATTAACTGTCACCTCCCTTTTTCAACAGGGCTGGGCTCAATGTGTATTTATCTAGAGTCACTTCAGTGGGATAAACAGCATAGAAGCTTAATAAATTTATCTAAATTTATTAGCTGCCCAACTACAAGGGACTCAGGGTGGCATCTCCTTAACAGTCTTAGGAAATTTAAAAAAATAGTAGCAAAATTTATTGAAAGTGGGAAACAAGATATTTGAAATATTGGGTGTGTATAGAATGGGGATGAAAGCAAGCTTGCTGAAATTTTGCTCTGAGAAAACCACGAGGGCTTTTCTCAAAATTGTAGGTGGGAAGCCATGTTAGTCTATGGTGACAAAAATAATAATAATCAGGAGTCTACTAGCACCTTTCCCAGTGAGTTTCTTAATAGAAAGTTTTAAAGATGCCTTTTAATATTCCTTAGTGAAAGCCTTTATGCTTTACAAAATTTTAGAACAGAATAGAATAACAGAGTTGGAAGGGACCTTGGAGGTTTTCTAGTCCAGGGGTCCCCAACCCTCGGTCTGTGGACCTGCACCGGTCCACAGCATGCCAGCAACTGGGCTGCACAAACAAGCAATGCTCCATCCTTGGGATGCAGGGAGTATTCAAAACCACACCCCATCTGGTCCACAGAAAAACCTTTCTCCATGGCACCGGTCCCTGGTATCCAAAAGGTTGGGGACCTCTGCTATAGTCCAACCCCTGCTTAGGCAGAAAACCCTATGTCATTTCACACAAATGGCTGTCCAGTCTCTTCTTTAAAACTTCCAGTGTTGGAACATTCACAGCTTCTGGAGGCAGGTTGTTCCATTGATTAATTGTTCTCACTGTCAGGAAATTTCTCCTTAGTTCTAAGTTGCTTCTCTCCTTGATTAGTTTCCATCGCTTCTTGTCCTGCCTTCAGGTGCTTTGGAGAATAGCTTGCCTCCCTATTCTTTGTGGCAGCCCCTGAGATATTGGAACGCTATCATGTCCCCCCTAGTCCTTCTCTTCGTTAAACTAGACATACCCAATCCCAGCAACCGGTCCTTATAAGTTTTAGCCTACAGTCCCCTAATCATCTTTGTTGCTCTTCTCTGTACTCTTTCTAGAGCAGGGGGTCTTCAAACTTGGCCCTTTTATGACTTGTGGACTTCAACTCCCAGAATTCCTCGGCCAGCGTGCCTGGCTGAGGAATTCTGGGAGCTGAAGTCCACAAGTCATAAAAGGGCCAAGTTTGAAGACCCCTGCCTTAGTTAATTGTGATTCTGCCTTTGCGCCTCAGGAAAGTTTATTATGCCTTTGATGAAGTGTGCTCGCTGGGAAAGGGGCTACCAGAATCCCGATTTTTCCCTACAGCAGAAAGATGAGCTCAGGCAACTCCACGTTCCACCCCAAGCAACTCACCCTGACACGCCCGGGCCCAGCCTTTTCCCTTCTCCCACCTGCCCCAACCCGCCGGCTCGCCAAACTGCCTCACTCACCGCCGCACTCCCGGGCGTGGGCCCAGCTTGCCTCCGGGGCGCAGGAATCGACTCAGCAAACTCAGCCCTCCCGCCGTTCGGCACAAAGGCCCGGCCATCCCGGAGGCCGCTGAGACCGCCACCAAGGTTATTTACGGTTACCGGGTTGGCGGAAGCTCCCGGTAACCCGCGCTCTGATTGGCTGGAAGGTTTGCCTGTCTTTAGCGCGCTCCAATGGGAGCCCCGGAATAGTTCCTCTGACGGAACTGGGCACGGGTTCTTTTAGAGTCTGGTCCAGGAAAAAAAGAAGGTCGTGTTTGGTTATCGCTCTCAAGTTATCCGCGGAGTGGAACCGGAACGTTAACTGATAAAAAGTAAAGCAAAATTCTTCCAAGCTGGGCTGGATTCCTGGAACTGCAAGGACACAAAACTCCCATGAAGTCTACACCAAAGTCCAAGTAGTTTTATTGTAAATAATTTTTTTAAAGCCACCTCCTATCATTTTTTAAAAAATACAATTTCAGTTTAGCCCTGGTACTTCCTCCCATCCCACCACTAACTCAGTCCTATTCTGCTTTGCTCTTTTGCGATCCGCCGAGGCTGACTGCTGCGGGCGGGACATGTTGCAAACATGCAGCAGAGGGTTGTCCTCCCCAATAGAGGTGGCTAGAAATGGTTTAGTCCAGGGTAGGCAACCTCGCTCTTTTACGACTCGTGGCTGGCTCAGGAATTCTGGGAGTTGAAGTCCATGAGTCATAAAAGAGCCGAGGTTGCCTATCCCTAGTTTAGTCTGTGGTGCCTGGTGGTTGCTAGGCAGCGAGGTGGTGATTTGGATTCCGGTGAGTTAGGAGACAGGCAGAGGAAAGGGGTGACCGGGAGTAGCAGCCTACAAGAAGGTGGGAGGCCTGTGCAAATATGATGGGTGAACAGTAAGTACAGCAGAACAAGATACTGCTCTGTTTCTTAGAAATTAAAAAGACAAGAGATATATCATTGTTATGGATAGGGAAACCTCCCAGTAGAAACTTCCCATTAGTATTATCATTTGTTTTGGGGTTTTTTTTGTATTTTTGTGTTTATATGGTTAGTCTGGAGGAAGAAACATGCAGGAACTGGGTATTATCTAGGACTCTAACAAGAGTACTTTAACCAAGAGAAGGACTAGGACTACTTGAGAGCAGTCTTCCAATATTTGAGGAGCTGTCACAGACAGGAGGAGGTTGCCCTATTCTCCAAAATGCCTGAGGGCAAGACAAGAAGTACCAGATGGAAACTTATTTAGGAGAGTTCCAATCTAGAATTAAGGAGAAATTTCCTGACAGTGAGAATAGTTAAACAATGGAATGGTTTGCCTCCAGATATTGTGGGTGCTCCCACCGCTGGAGGTTTTCAAGAAGATATTGGACAGCCATTTGTCTGGAATGGTGGTATAAGGCTGGTGGTAGAAGGATCTTGTTTTAGCAGAGAGTTGGAGCAGAAGACCTCCAGGGTCCCTTCCAATTCTGTTATACGGTTACTGACTTAGTTAGCTAGTTAGTTGGCATGTTTGTATATTTTGAAATTATTTTTGGTGGCTTTTCAAAAATTGATGTCTAACTGTTTTTATCTTTAAATGGAAGTTACTTTGGGTAATCTACTTATAGGCCCTGATTTCCTTGTGGAAGAGATGGTTATGGATTATGGCATCGGTAGCACCCAGGACCATCAATGACTACTCTGTAGTGATTCTAAAAACATCCAGACAGGTGCCTTTAGATTAGAAGCTTTTAAACAAGACATGATAATGAAATATGAGCCCATGTTATTGACTCACAGCAGTCGTGCCCCTGACTCTAAGGTTCCACATTTGATTGATGGTGGTTGATTGATGAATGGAGCAGTCCTAACAAAGAATCAAGTGACAGATTCAGAAACAGTGGTGGCGAACCTATGGCAAGGGTGCCAGAGGTGGCACTCAGAGCCCTTTCTGTGGGCACGCGCACCGTCACCCCAGTCCTAGGCCTTCAGCTGGGTTTTATAAAACCTTTTTGCTTTAGGCCTCCGCTGCCGTGTACAAAAAAAAAAAGTTCAATCAGTCAATTTCAACTTCTCGCAGGAAAAAAAAAGATCTTGCAAAGTTGGAATTGATTGATTGAACTTTTTAGTCCCACCCAGTCTGCCGTTACCACTGCAGCCACGCCCACCCAATGGGCCACACCCTGCCAATGGGCCACACCCACCCAGCACCCAACGATGCATAAGTGTGTTTTGGGTTGCAGTTTGGGCACTTGGTCTCTAAAAGGTTTGCCATCACTAGCCTATGAGCTTCAGCTGCTCAGGACAAGAATTTCCAAACACAAGGAAATTAATTATAATAGTTTCAGAGAATGTGTAGAGGTGCACAGTTCTGGTCTCCCTCTTTAGGACCAGCAGATTCAAGGCTGACTTCATCCATGTTTCAGCATTTACCAATGGCAAGAAGCTTTATATCTGTGTTACATGAATGCACCAGATTTAAACCAATAGCCTTCTGTTCTGGCTCCCTAACTTGAAAATAAAACAGTATATAAAATCTTAGTGTCTTGTGGCAACGGATTTCAAAAGTTTATTTTATCATTCCATGATTCATAATTTATATAGATTAATCCAAAAAAGACAATTGTTTATCACTATTGGTATTACAAGTTACCTAACTTTTTTGATATTCAAAATGCTTTATAGGAATTCTTTCTTTTTTGGAAGAAGAAAACAAAAGCATGTGAATGCCCTTTACATTTGTAGAGAAATTATTTGGGGAAATTGGGAGAGTTTATACTAATATAAATAGATAGGAAATTTAGGAAAATCAGAAAGCAGTGATTTGGATTTAATCTTAAATTAAGCAGAGAGAAATGTGTCGGAACTAAGTTACATTTAAGTTAAATTCCACGAATTTCAACAGCTCTTGACTAAGCCTGGATTCATCCCACTGTTGAAAGCAAAAACATTGTGCAACTACTTAAAGCATTGATGAAATGTTTATGCATTTACAAATTTGTCATTAATTGTTATTTTGTGTGATTAATGTTTGTGATCTAGGATGTCTCATCTCTGTCACACTATTGTACCATTATTGGCTGGCATTCATGAACACAATGTGATTTTTGTCATGTATACCTCAGAATGTAATCCTTCCAATCCACATATCATGAAAGAACTTCTGATAAAAACTCTATATTCCCTGGGTAGCAGACTAATGGATTCCATGTTCAATATCATCTGGTGTTCCAGCAAGGTAATGAAAAAATTATGAAAGGGAACAAAAGAGCTATTTCACTCTAGAGTGCTTCCACATAATGAAGTTTGTGTTGATTGTTGTTGTTAATTGCGAAGTCATGTCCAACCCATCGCAACCCCATGGACAACATTCCTCCAGGTCTTCCTGTCCTCTACCATTTTCTGGACTTTATTTAAGTTCACACCTACTGCTTCAGTGACTCCATCCAGCCATTTCATTCTCTGTCGCCCCATTCTTCTATTGCCCTCAATCTTTCCCAGCATTAGGCTCTTCTCCAATGAGTCTTTCCTTCTCATTAAGTGGCCAAAGTATTTGAGTTTCAATTGTGTTGATTAGCACTCCAAATTAAAGCAATGCTATTTGTTAGTGCAGGGAGAAGGGGCCTCCGTTTAAAAAAGATTTTCAAAATATAGCAACATTTATTCAATGGAGTAATGTTTGAAAGATGCAATGTTATAATTGCATTTCTATTTTGATCCAATGAAGAGACAACCCATTTCTTCTCCAGGTGTTAAAATGGCAGAATGAATTGGTAGAATGTTCCCTCACCAACATCATGGATGCAGCTTCTTGGATCAGAACTCTGCAAATGAATAGCAAGGCGAAAGCCAATGCTTGGAATGCCATTGAAGAAGCAATAAAGGATCCCAGCTGCCAAGCAATATACCTGTTCACCAGCGGTTTGCCCGAAGGCAGAGTGGAAGAAATCTGTAGCCGCCTGAAAGAGACAAAGCAATTGTGTCCAGTGCATATTGTGCAATTGGTAGAAAATGGAGAGGACAATAAAATTAGCTGTCAAAAGCTATTGGTGAACATAGCCAAGATGTCTGGTGGTACTTTCCAAGCTATTGATGGAGCTTCCTGTGAGGTAAAATGACAAATGTCATTTTGAATCTGACCACTTGATTTGAGGGATAACTACTGTGACTCTTTGGTTAGCTAAAGAAAAGTAGTCTGACTTTGTTAAACTATATTCATTTGATCGCATGAACATTCAGTCTGTTAAGTTACTTTTACAAAGGCTCATTTTTTTCCTTCATTGATTTATTTTAATGCCTTTATGAGGCATCCATCTCGCAGCAGTTTTAAAGAACAAAAATAACCATTATTAAAGTAGAAAATAAAATCATAATTAATGAAACATTGTAAAAGCTATAAAATTCATATTTAATAAAAACATAATGTGTATATTAAAAGGTAGAAGGAAAAGAGGAGGACAAAACTGGTAATACTGTAGGAAGGTCTGGTTGAAGAAGTAAGTCTATGAATCATGATAGAAAATTCTTCATAAGCATCAGGGAGTTAATGGAGAGCATTCAGACATACTGAAAAGAAGAATTGTCTTGCCATTCATAGTATGACACTTTGATATTATTAATCATGAAGAAATGAACAATCTGTAAATCAACACATGAAATCAAATTGTTGGAAAGGACCCAAATACTATTTAGCTTTACCAGTCTAAATTTCCAGAAGAATGTCAAATTATTGCTCTCTAATTTCTTCCATCCTTTTAGGATAAGACTGACTGTAATTTAGGTTTTCATCATGCTGGTAGCATCGGCAATCATCTCAGCTTCCCTCCACTGACAGATCATTGCACAAAACAGTAAGTTTAGGCACCAATGGGTTTTAATGTTATTATTAATCATTTTACCAATGTTGGAATAAAGATGCAAGTGCCAATAAGGTTGATACTTATTATTAATCCATTTATATCAGTAATCCCAATTCTCTGGTGAGCGATCTTGTACTTCCTAATGCCTGTTGGTTTCTTCTCTTACAGGTTTCCTTTGGGAACATGGAGTCCAGATACTTGTAACACGTGTTTAAGAAGTTCCATGCAAGAGAATTTAGGAGACTGTTCCACAAACAGCCATCATTTGCTGAGAGGGATTCGAGTCCTTGCCAGAAAACAAACAGATGGGTATTACTATCTCAGTCATATTGTCCAAAAGGTGAAGGTAAGCTTTTTTGCCTGAATTAGTAATTTTTCACTAATCATCTCAATATATAATGGGTTGAGGATCTATAGATGTTGCTCTATTGCAGGGGTAGTCAACCTTGGCTCTTTTATGACTCGTGGACTTCAAATCCCAGAATTCCTGAGCCAGCTAAGCTGGCTCAGGAATTCTGAGAATTGAAGTCCACAAGTCATAAAAGAGCCAAGGTTGACTACCTCTGCTCTATTGACTTCTTCCACCATTGGTTTTGTATGTGCTGTTGGGCTGAAACAGGTAGATTGTGTGGGTTTCATCACATCTGATTTTTTAAAAAGACTGGGAAATTTTCCCATGTCAGCCAGACTTGATGGTTCATTTGGGTTGTGTCTTATACAAGAGTACCATTTTATAGATGTCTCTTTGAACCAGGGTGGTGTGATTTTGAAGGTCATGAATTAGCCATTATCTTACGGCATAACTTTCCTCATAGGGCTGTCCCTATGGAAATCAAATTGGAAATGGGAGTGCTGAGTGTACAGTCTGGACCATACAAATACATATTATAAAAGTTTTGGGGGACTGTATTTGTATTAAAGGCCAGGCTAAACAAAGCTTCTGCTACTATGGAGGAAGGTGCAGCAGGAAAGTTGCACATTGTCTCTTCCTCAAGCTGCCATGGGCCACTCATGAGAAGTAATCTGTCTGAAAAGACTGCAGGATAAAGTTATTTGCCAAGGCTCTGATGAAATGTCATCTATGGTACTCTGTTTACATTTATTCAGTTTGATGGTTCTGTTGTGCTATGGAAACCACTTTAAGAATAATTTACTGTAAAGAACAAGACAAACTTAGTGTCTTTGAAATGGAAATATAGACTTTTCTATATATTGGAGATGTGTGGTTCAAAATGAAGATGGTGAATATAAGATGACTCTATACAGATTTATGGGGCACAATGGCTCAGCGGTTAAAGATGCTGGAAAGCTGACAGCCTGGGTTCGAGACCCGAGTGCTGCATGACAGGGTGATCTCCCATTACTTGCCCCAGCTTCTGCCTCCCTAGCAGTTCGAAAGCATGCAAATGTAAGTGGATAAATAGGTGCCATTTCAGTGGGAAGGTAACCATGTTCTTTGTGCCTCAGCTTATAGTCATGCTGGCCACATGACCATGAAAGTGACAATGCTAAGAAAGGCTAAGAAAGGAGATGAGCATTGCCCCCTAGAGTTGGACATGACTGGACAGGTGAAACCTTTACCTTTATACAGGTTTACAGGGCAGGATTTCTGGCTTCATTTCACAGGATTCCAATGAACATGTTCTAGTTGAGTTTGAAAGATGCCAGCGATTACGGAAAGGTAAGCCTCCATTTCGAAGGCAAGAAGTGCCTCTGTATGACATCATCCATTACGATGATGCCAGGTGGCAGCCATTATCTGCAGGAGATGGGACCCTTGCTCCATGGGAGAAGAACGGCAGACGATATGGCCCAGGCATCGTTCTCCAAGTAGCAGAAACCAGGTCAGATTATTCAGGTATGGCTTAATTTGCTCTCTGTCCATCAAACATCTATTGCATTTTTACAATCTTTGCTCAGAAGACAAAGGGATACCACACTTGCCTCTTTTCAAAAGGGTAGGGGTGAGCTTGGAAAAATAAAGTAGAGGGAGGAGGGGAAATGGGGCTGCAACTACTACTTTCCCTCCTTTTAATCTTCCACGCAGCCATCCAAAATGCATTAGGTTTATAAGGGCATTCACAAAAAGATGGTGGTGTTTCTTTGCAAATATTACATGGATTTTAGAATAGTCAGCTGACTTTTCTTATTATTATTATTATTATTACATGTAATTAAGCATGTAATTATAAAAAATATCCTTAAATAGAAAATACCAGTGTTAACAACAATTATGCTCTAAAATAGTGGCAGATAGTCTCCCCCACCAGGGCAAAACTACTCAGCTGTATCTTGTTGGGGAGAAGGAGTTAGCAAGTTAATGACTAAAACGGTTGACTTAAAACTTGTGAAAACTTAATCAGTTCTGAAGACCACCCCCCCTTCCCTCCAAATTGCCCATTTATTCTAGGTGACACAATTTTGGGTAGAAAAAAAAATGTTGCAGTACAAGACAGTTGCCTATGCCTGGTTGCCTATCCTTGCTTTAAAAGACTTCCACAGAGGAGCAATATCTATTGATAGTGGTGGCTGGAGCCACCCCTAGCATAGCAATGAGACAGATGTTGTTTCCTTTTGAAATATGGCTCCCTTTGTGTTTCCCTTTACAGCTTTTCAAAATAGCAAAGTGCTGATTAACTTCTGGAATGGTCAGACCAAGACAATATCAGCAGATGTTGCTGTGAGGATCCCTCTTTTGTTGTATGAACGCATTGTTCTTGAGCTTCAGATGCCATTGACAGCCAGGCAGCTGTTGGTGGAGCAGAATCCAGATTATCCTTCTGTTGTGCCACCTGGATACCGAGCTTCTGAACCTTGCAGGCAAAACCATTTACCTTGGATGCCTTGGCCTCAGACTCCAAAGATCCATTGTATTGGTGTCTGTGGTAGCAATACCCATTTTTCTCCTTGGTCTTTCTGCTGTCCACTACAGAATCATAGTATATCTCCAATAAGTTCAACATGGGCAGATGATGCTTTGATACCAAGAGTCAGCCCATCAAAAGAGGAGTTGAGCAAGAAATTAGAAGACCAATTTTCAAAAGGCACACCTCCCACTTTGGAAAATGATAAGAATGCAAAAGAAGATAGCAGCAAACAAAAGACGGAAACAAATTTAGCAGATGCAAAATCTTGGGAAGAGAAGGAAATCAAAGTTGTAGAACCCAGTAAGGTACAAGATTATGTTGATTAGCTTATAGCTCACATCTCTGGCAAGAAATCTCCCCACGCCCTATTCCCCAAAGCAATTAGAAGCTATTGCCAAATGTTAAAATTTTTTCCTAAGCTGAACATCATAGGATAGTTAAGTATTTCCATCCTTATCATCTTTACTGTATTCAGTGGGGCTTTTTTCTTGATTTTTGGTAGGACCAGAAAGCGATGGATTCGGAAGATACAATGAACAATACTGGCACCATGGTTGATATAGCGACCAATACAGGCAAATGGACAACTCAACAAAAACAGAACTGTGTGTAACTCTATTTTTTTTTTTTTTTTTTTATTAAAAGTTTTATAAATTTTACAAAAAAAAACAAGAACAATACAGAACAAAAAACAACATATACAAAAGAAAAAAAAATTAAACAATACATATAAAAAAAAACCCCCCACCCCACACCCCTCCCAAAAACCCTCCCTTCCCCCCCCCTGAGCTTCCCAGAGCAGAATATAGGCTTAAGAAATAATAATAAAAAAATAAAAATAAAAATAAAAATTAAATTAAAAACTTTATATTTATATATATAAAAAAGATATCTATAATATATATAAAAATAAAACTTATGAAAAAGCTATATAATATTTTTGTATACCCAATCTAAATTGTATAAATTTTATCCATTTGTCCCAGATAGCAAAAAACTTCTCTTGCGTTTGTTGCTTTAAGAAAGCCGAAATCTTTGCCATTTCTGCCAGATAAGCTACTTTAAAAAACCATTCCTGCAATGTAGGCAAAGATTCCTTCTTCCAATATTGTCCAATTAACAGCCTCGCGGCTGTGATCAAGTTTAACATCAATACAACCTCCTTTGTATCACAATCTGTAACAATACCTAACAAAAATAATTGCGGAGTAAATTTTACCCTCCTTCTAAAAATTCTCTGGATATTCCACCATATTTTGATCCAAAATGCTTTTATCTCTCTACATGACCACCAAATATGATAATAGGAAGCCTCCTTATAACCACATCTCCAACATTTAGGTTGCACGTCAGGGTACATGTAAGACATTTTTTGTGGATCAAGGTGCCATCTATAAAACATTTTATAAAAATTCTCCCTTAGATTCTGTGCTTGAGTAAATTTGACATTTCTCACCCAAATAGTTTCCCAGGTGTCCAATGAAACTGGCTCACCAAAGTTCTGCGCCCATCTAATCATACAATCTTTAATTAGTTCCGTTTCTGAGTCCAATTCAACTAAAACCCCATAAATTCTCTTAATGTGGGTTTGTCTTTGATCCTTCAGTTGCTTAATAAGATTTTCATCTTCTCTAAGAAAACCCACCTTACAATCCATCTTCCATCTATCTAGTAGTTGCCTATATTGGAACCAAGAATAAGTAAAATTTTCTTGTGCTAATTCTTCCCGTGATTTTAATTGCCAGTTTTGTCCATCCCATTTAAGTAACTGTCTGTAAGACACCATATCCATTTTAACCCCTCTTTTTATTCCTTCTATCGCATGCCAAGGTATAGCCCATAATGGTACTTTAAAATCACTTTTATAATATTTTCTCCAAATCCTAAGTAAAGAAATTCTTAAAATATGAGATTTAAAAGCCCAATCTATTTTTTTATTAAATATTAAATAGGCATGCCACCCATAAAGTAAATCCCATCCCTCTAGATAAAGTATCTCAGAATTTGTCAAATTTACCCAGTCACTAATTAATGTTAAAACCACCGCATCATAATATAATTTCAAATTTGGTACCTTGAGTCCGCCCCTCTCACGGAAGTCTTGCATAATTTTGAACTTAACCCTTGGTTTTTTCCCTGCCCAAATAAATTTATTGAGACCCTTCTGCCACTCATTTAAATTAATCTCATTTTTCAAAATTGGTAACATTTGAAACAAAAAAAGAAACTTGGGTAGAATATTCATTTTTATCACTGCAATTCTTCCCATGAGGGATAATTGCAGCTTTTCCCAATTCTTCAAGTCTTTCTGTACCCCGACCCACAACCTTTCATAATTATTTTTAAATAGTTTTGCATTAGAAACAGACAGCATCACCCCCAAATATTTTACCTTATTAACAATCTCAAAACCCGTCGAGTTAACCAAAATCTGCTTCTCCTGACTCGACAAATTTTTAGGTAAAATTTTAGTCTTATTTACATTAATCTTAAAACCCGAGACCAAACCATAATGGTGAATCAACTGTAATAAGTTTACTACAGAATAATCAGGTTGCGACAAAGTAACAACCAAGTCATCCGCAAAAGCTCTCAACTTATATTCTTTTTTATTAACATATATTCCTTTAATTTCCTGAGACTCTCGAATTTTAATCAATAATATTTCCAATGTTAAAACAAACAACAATGGCGATAAAGGACACCCCTGTCTAGTACCTTTCTCTATTGTGAAAACCTCCGACAAACCTCCATTAACAATAAGTTGTGCTGTTTGTTTTTGATATATTACCTTAAGGGCTTGTAATATGTTTTCACCAAAATTCATTTCTTCCATTACTCTTAGCATAAAATGCCAATTCAGTTGGTCAAATGCTTTTTCAGCATCTAAAAATATGAGCCCTGCAGGAACTTGGTTGTTCTTATCTAAGTATTCTAATAAGTTAATAATTTGTCTAACATTGTTTTTCATATACCTTCCTGTTATAAACCCTGATTGATCTTTATGCACAAGATGATGCACCACCCTCATAAGCCTATTTACCAAAATTTTTACAAATATCTTATAATCCACGTTTAAAAGAGATATAGGCCTATAGTTTTTTGGTAAAGTAAGATCTTGATCCTCCTTTGGAATCAATGATATAAAAGCACTACGCCATGAAGGAGGAATCTCTAAACCCTGTAAGATACCATTAAAAAGATCATTTAATGGTTGAATCATCTCCTCCATTAAAGCTTTATAATAAACAGCTGTTAACCCATCCGTACCCGGTGCTTTCCCTAATTTCAATTGTTGAATTGCTGAGGCGATTTCCTCCTTAGTAATTAAACCATTAATTTCATATTTCTGATCCTCAGTCAGTTTAGGAAAACTTGCCTCAGCTAAATATTTATTTATATCTAACAGTTGTACATTAGTAGATTTGTATAGGTTTTGATAATAATCCAAAAAAGATTTTTTAATTAATTCCTTCTGAGAAACTAGTTTACCCTTATAATTTATTTTCTCTATTATTCTCAGTCTCTGTTTCTTTCTTAATTGATAAGCCAACCATCTCCCCGGCTTATTAGCATTACAAAATGTATTTTGTTTCATAAATAATAAATTGGTTGCAGCTTGATCTGCTATCAACATATTAAATTGTGACCTTAATAACTTTACAGATTCTTTAGTACTTTCATCAGAAGGATTTAGAATCAAAGCCCTTTCTTTTAGTTTAATTTCATCTTCAAGTTCTCTACGTTTCTGAGTCTGATTTCGCTTATAAAAATTATTCATTTTTATCAAAACACCGCGCATAAATGCTTTACCTGCATCCCATACCATTGACATTGAAGTCCCCTTATACATATTCAAAGCAAAATAGTCCTTTAAACACTCCTTTAGTTTTTGAACATTCTTCTCTTGTCTAAACAAATTTTCATTAACTCTCCAGGATCTTCTTTCCTCTTTCTCTTGAATCAACTCCATCCAAACTGGACTATGATCCGTCAGTGATCTAGGAAAAATCTTTACATTCTTTACTTTATTATACAAATCCGTGGTAATCAAGAAAAAGTCAATTCTTGAAAAAGATTGGTGTCTGTCAGAAAAAAAAGTAAAGTCTCTCTCCTCTTGATTACGTTCCCGCCAATAGTCCCTTAATTCCCAGTCTTCTTTCATATCAAAAAAGGCTTTAGGTAGCCTTGCTTGTTTAAGAAAAGGAGAGGAACCTTTCTTATCCCTTTGTGTATCTAAGACACCATTCCAATCACCCATTAATACCACCGATCTATAATCAAGCAAAGTTATTTTTTGGTGTAACTGTTTATAAAATTGTTCCTGTTGTTGATTTGGAGCATAAAGTCCAACTATAAGTACTTTCTTACCATAAATACCAAGTTCAATCATCACATATCTCCCCTGGGGATCTGATTCTACCAGACAAGCTGGCAGGTTTTGTTTGACATATATAACAACTCCCCCTTTCTTCCCAGGTGCAGGAGATATAAAATGAGATCCCAAACGAGCATTAACTAAATATTTCTGATCTTTAAGTAGAATATGAGTTTCCTGTAAACAAATAACATCATTGGTATGTTGTTTCAAATAATAAAAGATTTTTTTCCGTTTCTGAGGAGAATTCAATCCATTAACATTCCAGGTCAAAAACTTTGCCATCTCCCTTGGCACGCAGCCTGGAGAAGACACCATCAAACTCTGACAGAGCTGCGTGTGTTGCATAACTCTTGGGTCTTGCTCCTCCCACCGGCGGTGATGCACTTCCAGGAGAATTCTCTTTGGGCTCTTTTTTACGTTGCTCTTTCTCTTTACGCTTATAAGCTGCACGAGTCATCCTCTGCTCTTTAGCCTCCGTTTGGCGTTGCTTTGCCACTTCTATCATCCCTGCGGAAACCAAATCTAGTGCCTCAGATTGCTGCTCAGGTTCCTTAGCACTCAAAGATTTCCGACCAGATGAAGTTGAGCCTGCACTCAGGACCGAAGTATAGAAATCTCTAGCTTTGTCAACTGTGTTCAATCTGTAACGTGTCCCAGCATGGCTCAAAACGATACCCATCGGAATTTCCCATCTGAATGGCATCGATCTAGCTTTAAGCTCATTGGTTAAAAAAGCAAAGTCTTTCCTACTTCTTAAAATTTTAGATGGGATTTCCTTTAGAATGATGACATCTTGGGCGGCAATCTGAAATCTTTTGTTGTAAAAAGCTTGTATAATCTCATTCCGCAGGGACTTCTTTGTAAAGTAAATCACCACATCTCTGGGCAAATTCTTCTGCTTAGCAATCCAGGAGTTGAGTCTATAAATTTTTTCTACTTCTCTCTGTAATTCTCCTTTATCCATATCCAAAGCCAGCGCCAGATCACTAAGAACCACCTCCATCAAATCTTGATTCATATCTTCCTTGAGGCCTCTAATCCTCAGAGCATACTCCATTTGTCTGTATTGAAACATCAAAATATCTTCTTGTGAGGAGTCCACCTTCCTTTCCACGTCTTGAATTTTGTCATCTAAAGAGTCAACTTTGTCTTCCACTTCCTCAAGCCTTGCATCGAGCTTAACCACCACAGTAGCCAAACCTGAAACAGCTGCCAGTATATCTTGTCGTAATTCATTATTATTTTCTTGCAATTTAGACTTTATCCCCGTTATCTCTTCTTTGAGATCAGATTTAATTTCTGATTTAATCTGTGAAACAAATTGAGTCATTTCCTCTCTCATTTGAACTACAATCTCTCCCATTATGCCTCTAACCTCTTGCACTGAAAGTCCAGGTAGAGGAGGGGAGGGTGGTGGCTGAGCCGGTGGTGCATGTTTAGATTGTTGTTGTAGCTGTGCAGTGGAAGTTATAGGAGAAGAAATAACCTTGGGTACTGAGGAAGGCTGCTGCCTCTTTGAAGCCATTTTAAAAAGCACAATTGTCACTTCCCTTTCCCCTCCAGCCAAAAAGGGAGGAGGAAAAAAAGAAAAAAAGAATTTTTAAAAAGAGACAAACTATAATCATTAAAAGTCCAGAATAAATCCCAAGAATAAGTAATAAAAGAGCAAACAATTCAAAAAAAAAAAATTCTAAGCCAAAAGCAAAAGCAAAAGCAAAAAACAATCCTTAAAAAGGGAAAGTAAAACAAAAGAGAAAGGAAAAAAAAACTCCGACACTTTCAAAACGCCATCTTAAGTCCTTTCACTAGTATAACAAAGAAAAGGAGGAAAAATAGTAAAAATCAAAAGATAAAAAAATAAACACCTAAAATATAAGAAAAAGTCCTTTAAACTGCTCCGTCCGTTTAAAAATTACTCACCAAAATGCTGTAAACACGGAGATAGAAGCGGCGGTTTCTTTTGCTTCCAAGGAAGCAAAAACAGCTGGGAGGCGGAGATCAGCAAGAGCTCCGAGGGAACACTCCTTTCACCCCCTCTAGAAATAAATCCAGAGGGGGTTCAGGGGTTCTACCTCTACTCTTGCGTTCTCTATCCCTTCCCTTTGCCCGGGAAGGGATTTCCGAGCCGCGGGCCAGCTGATGCGCGCTGCGCTCCGCGGCTCTGACACTTCCCCAGCTGGACGGCTAAAAGCTAGCCGCCATCGCCGTCGCCTCCCACCGGAAGCTCTGTGTGTAACTCTATTAAAAGAGATGTGGGGTGTTTTGGTGACTTGCTCATAGACATTGAAACTAATGTATTAGCATATTTTACCTTAATCTTTTGGGCACATTCAGCTTCTTTCCGCTCTCAATAAAGAGGAGGTCAGGAGATCTGGTGATGTCACTGATCAGCAGAGGGGCCTCCATTGCCCTCTCTCAGGAGAACAGTATTTCTTGTTTCTGGTATGAATGAGGCTCCAGGGATCCCTCTGTCTTTGGATTTGTACATTTACAATATTGCCATGGCTACATCGCATATTGTGTCATTATGATACAGATGTGATTCTTTGTACTCATTTTCTTTTCTGATGAATTCTAAGTGCAATTATCCTTGAGAAAAAGGTTATTGTCCTTAACCTCAATGTTTTTAGAGACATCAAGTGAAGGAAATTGCATTAAAAACATAGAACATAGAAGAACAATCAATAGAAGAATCCTCATTTTTTTTTTTTTAAAAAAAGGGGGAACTACATTAAAGAGATCACTGTAAGCAAGAGTGAGGGACACATAGCCTTCAATTATCAACTAAATCCTGAGATAGCAAAACCAAACAGGAGGAACACTGGTGGTTGCACCAGAGTAATATCTGAGGAGCCAGATTTTTCATTTCTTCAGAGACATCAACCACATAAAAGGAATGTAACTTAGGGCAAGTAGCCATCTATAGCTACATGATGTTTCCCCTTTTCAAATCAATGACTTCATTATATCTATACCATTATTATTATTATTTACCTCTGCAGTGAATGTAATTATCTCATATAACAGGTTTTTTACAGCCCAACCTGAGTGGATCTTTAACCCAGCTTTCCCAAAGAAATACTTCTCAGAAAACTTACTTTGCTAACAATTCCAAACTCCAGGATAAGCTTGACTGGGTGGACAGGTCACTGAAGAAAGATCGTTTAGCTATTGAATCTGTTTTGCACATGAGAAGGAGCTACAGTGCACCACCATCTGGACAGGTGAAAATATTCCTCCTCTCATCTATATAATATTACAGGGAAAGGCAGCTTTTGAAGACCACAGTTGTGCATAGTTCATTTATGAAGTACTAGGCCTAAACCATCTGAGGGGCACTTCAGCTTTGCTTTGAGGTGAAAACTAACAGACAGACTTGGAAAAAACTTACCCTGATATAAAGGGATCTTTTTTCCCCCAGAGATTAATAGAGAAGGAAGCCCCTTGGGATGGTCCCAGAGATGTGGATGCCAACCCAACTAAGATAAACTTCAAACGGCAAAAGTGGGAGCAGAGACAGCTTAAGAAAGAGCAACAACAACAGGAAAGCCATCACAAAAGAGAGATGCGGCTTGAAAATAAGAGGTAATGGAGTGCTGTACCCCCAGATTGGTTAGAAGAGAATAAACTGAAGCTACAGAGTTCTTCTGTGACTTTTGCTTTCAATTCTTGTTACTTATGGGAGATAATATTCAAATAGAATGTTCTTGCTTCAGCCACAGAATGAGAGATTAAGTTCCACCTGTGTCAAAAACTTGAGATCTCGTAGTCCTCATTGTAAAAATTGAAATAGTATTTATCACACATCATTCACATGTTGATAAAATATATGAAAATGGATCATAATTGTTAAAAGAAATGGTAACAATTCCTTTTTTTCAATTGCTGTCCATGAACATGGTGATGTTAGATTTCATCTGTTCCTATTTAGTATTTTCCTATGTATGCTTTCCCTGGGATTGTATGAACCCTGATCATGTGAAAAATTAAACATGCCTAATTATTTTTTCTGAAATGATCTCATATAAGCCTAACTCTACAAAGGCTTGCAAACTTAAAATGTGAATTCAGAAGTAAAGTTTTGTTGCTCATTGTTTTATTTAGCATACTGGGATATGCTTATAAAGAAATAGGGTCTATTTTTTAAAAAAAACAAACAGGTTAAAAGCTGAGCTCATTCTTTAAACAGGCAGCAGTTTCTCCAGCGGACATTGCAAGGCTCACAAAAGCTGCAGGAGCAGAATGACAGGGCTGAGCGGCACCTGGAGCAGCTGCGGGAGGCAACAGCAGAGAGGAGAAGGCAGGAGTCCCATTTGTGGGAAGAAGAAGGAAAGAAAGATAACCAAAGGAAGGAATTCTTAAAGGCACAGCACAAGCAGAGGGAGAAGCAGCTGGCAAAATATAATCAAATGATTGATGACCAGGAAAAAAAGAGGCTGGTGAGAACATGAGTCTGTTCTACTTTCCTCTTTTCCAAATTTCTGAAAAAATTCTTTGTACGAGAGAAAAATAGGGGAGATGAGGCATTATCAGGAAGAGTTGCCACCTCCGCCAAAGAAAATGTAACTTTCTGCTGAGATAAATGTTATGAGGTCAACATATGGCAGATCAGAGTCATTTGCATGGATTATTCTGACTGCATTTGAGGGATCAGAAGTTGAAAGTGGGATGGATTACAAATGTAGGAAAGAAATTATAGATATGAATATTTAAAGAAGCAAGTGTTTTCTTCATTTTTAATCAGAATTTCTGCTCAGAACCCTATGCTTGGAAATGTTGAGGGTTAATTATTCAGAATTAAGCAAATTTCATGTGTGTGTGTGTGTGTGTGTACCCACACATGCACATATATACCACTACAAATATGTATATAAATATCTGTATACAGTTAAACTCTAATTCTTGTGAACTTTAACTGGACAAAATAGTGCAACATAGAGCAACAATTTTTGAACCAAGCTACCCTAAATTAACCAATGGATTAATTTAAAGAATACATTCAAAATCCAGGACCCATGACCCCCAAGGGATTGAAATTTGAGGAAGTTGTGGCTGCTTCAATGCTACAGGCTGCTGCTGGGCTGCTACTGCAATCAAGTAATCTTCATTTTCAGTGACAGTTTCCAAGCCAATCTCATAATACCTGCTGGGGATAAACCCCTTCTGGGTAGGGAAAGGAAAAGGAGGAAGGGAGGGAAGAACAGCGAGGTAAGCGTAATCAAAATCCTGCTTAATTACTACTCCAAAGCCTACCTTATTACTGAAATTTGCTACTCTATATATTCTAGCAGTATTTGAATTAGTTGGAACTTTGAAGCAACTTGGCCAATTTGGGGGAAATTGTCTTCTTCACGAGTTAAAACTTCCATGCTATATTTTTTTTCCATTTATTTTTCTTTCAGTAATTTTTTTTAGATTTTTAGCCTGCCTTTTTTTCATATGCAAATCAGTGTGGCAAGCCTATCAATACTCCTTCCTCTTTTCCACAACAACAGCAGGGATTATGTGAGATTAGTTGGACTGAGAGAGAGTGACTGGCTGAAGTCAACCAGTCAGCTTTAATGCCTAACATAGGACTAGAATTCACAGTCTCCTGGTTTCTAGACCTTAACCACACCAAACTGGCTCTCATAGAATCGCATTACTATTTTGTTAACAAGTTTGATGCAATAAAATGTCTTTGCAAAGAAGAATTGGTAGAAGAGCTGTAAACATGCAGAATAATCAAGTAATTTTATCTTCTTTTTCTGTAGGCACTTCTCAGGAATAGAAAAGAAGTCATGCAAAAGAATGCAGAAATTGCCCTGAAGGAACAGGAGGCAGAAAATAAGAAGAAGGAAGCTGCCAATTGCCAGAGGTCCCAAAAGCGAGAGCAGATTTTACAAAATAACGAAAAGGAGAGGCAGATGCAGAAAGGACTCCTACAGTATCTCAGGGAACAGGACCTCTTACTGCTCCGTGCTTCTATGCTACCATAGAATAAAGCAATTTCTGCAGCCAAGGCACTAAGAGTGTTCACAGATAATACCTTGTGAAATGGTTCTTCTGAGTCGGAAACCGAGTGCTTACCTGAGAACTGGAGATGGTGTAGCACAGTGTTTCTCAACCTTGACAATTTTAAGGCATGTGGACTTCAACTCCCAGAATTCCACAGCCAGCATTGCTGGCTGTGGAATTCTGGGAGTTGAAGTCCACATGCCTTAAAATTGTCAAGGTTGAGAAACACTGGTGTAGCAAGTGATCACTGCTTATCATCCTTGTTTTCATTTTCATCTTAGTTGCGTTCAAGCCACTTTTTCTGATTTTCATATTTCATTTCAATTTTGCTTCAGCTTATTTCTTGAGAAACTGCAAAACTTCCTGGTCTTTCCAATACTCCCCGAAGCACCTTTGAAATGTATACTAAACTTAGAAGTGGGATTGCACCAACCTCTTGAAATGTGGTCATGTCCACAAATGTATCCCAATATATTAAAAAAAAAAACCTTCAGATTTATTTAACTAGATCAAAATTTGCTATCAATACAGTTTTAACTATTTTCTCCTTTTTAATATTCTTCGGGAAGAATGATCATATGAGCATGTGCAGGTAGAGTTTTTAAAAATGTATTTCCTTTTCCATTCTCACATTACATTAAAAGTTCTTTCTCCCGTTCAGATTATCCTTTTAATCATCAGGATATTTTAAAATAACTTGGCTGGAATAAAACTGGGTGATTAAAAGATATTCACTTCCAATCACTAAGTGCATTAAGCAACGTTAAGCTTATTTCACCCTCTCTCAGCCAAACAGCAGATAAAAGGGAAGGATAACCTTAAAATGTACTAAAACTAACAGTGTAGGCCAGGCCATATGCTTGATGTTAACCTACAAAGTTCTTAATGGTTTGGGATTAGAAGCACCTAATGGACTAATTTCATCACCAGTCAAGACATTAATCTAATGCTGCTGCATTTTGGAGATCACTCAGGCTGTTATTGGCAACAAGGCTTTACGCTACCTTCTGAGTTGGAATTGCCTTTATTGTTACAGATCTCTAATGATGTTCATCTTGTTCTCTATTTTGTAGGCCAGTCGTTCTCAACCTGTGGGTCGGGACCCCATTTGGGGTTGAACGACCATTTCACGGGGATCGCCAAACAACGAGTCCGCCATTTTTTCCCCTCTTTTCCCTGGCTGTGCTACTCCCTTTTATTCTCTTGGCTTTTGAAAGCCAATAGAATAGACTCTCTTGAATAGAGTCTAATTCTATTGGCTTTCAAAAGCCAATAGGAATTGTCCAGGCTGTCTCTGCCCTGCTGAGCCCGCCAAAAGTCCCATTCTGCAAACGGTGCTGCACCAGTTGAGTAGTCCTCAACTTAAGACCGGTTGAGTAGTCTTCGACTTACAACCGGTTGGGGGTCGCGGCATTAAAAAGGTTGAGAACCACTGTTGTAGGCTAAAAGTAAAATCTTCTCTGCTGCAATGACACAACTGTCAGGGAAGAACATGCTATACTTGTGAGCAGGATCATCACACACACAGAATTCTACACAAATCAGATTGACTGTGAGCAAAAAGACATAGCCCTATCCCTAATTCTATAGGCCAGTAACTTTTCAGTAACTTTACAGAATTCCCCAGCCAGCACTGAGAGTTTCCTAATAATTAGGGAAACTATACTGCTCTGGTTGTTGTCTCTCTTATGAGTAATAATAGTCTGGACTTAACAGTGTGTACTTCGGGCCTTTTGAGTAGTTTCCTGAAAGCCCAAATTCAGATTAAGGACCTCTAATATGATTACTCCCCTAAGAAACTTTTAGTTGTGCACTGTTACAATAAAGCCACCTTTCCCCAAATTTCTTTTATACTGTTTGCATTGTAGATTTGTATTCATTTTGACTTTTTAGGGGAAGTGCAATGGTAAAAAAGTTTAGGAATCCCTTTTCTAGGGCCCCCAAGCTGTGTATCTGTATTGTTAATGTTTGCAGTGCAGTTTACTATACTAATCTTATTTTCATGGGTGCACATTTTTAGGTTTCTATTGTCCACCTGAAATGCACATTTGGCAGAAAGATGGAATATTCATTGCCATATGTCTGGGACTTGTTTGTAATGTCATGCTTTTGATTTGAACAAGCAAAATTTCAAAAGGAAAAATTTAGAAAATCTGTTTCTTTCACTTACACAAAACCAGTACAGAAGCAGACTGAAAAACCATTTCTTGCCAAAAGCTTTTTATTAATTCATCCAACTTTCCCAACATCAGTAGTTAGAAATAAATTCTTCTAAAATATGTCTATATTAGTAAAAAGAAATGTGGTTAATAATATTTTGGAACATAAATGACTGCATATTAATTCACTGGAAATTACAATAATCATTTTAACCATGTTAAATCCTTGATGCTTTCCAGAGCAGTCTCTCTACAGCTAAGAAAGCTGTATGCTGATAGAAATCTGAGAGAGAGAGAGAGACAGACAGACAGACAGACAGAGACAGAGAGATGCCATCTTTGTTTCCCATTGTCCATTTCCATTGTCTTGACATGGGAGCTCGACAAGTACTGAAGCTGTAAATGGGTTTGGTGTAAGGGATTTTTTTTGTATACCAGGAAACAGAACAAATTATGTGTTGGCAGAAAGACTAGAATGTATCTAGAGATGCATTTAATATCAGCATTCTGAATCAAACTCTTGCGGTTCTTTCTTATGAGAATAGTCCTATTCATTCTAACTGAAGCAGATGAGTACTCCTTAAAGCATTAGACCTTAATTTCCAAATTCAAAGGTCAAAGTGCATAGCATCTGAAGAGGTTCTCAGTTTTCAAATGTAAACTCTGACAACAAGCTTCTCACTAAGGGAAGGGTTCTTCCTAATTTGGTGGACTGATGAGAAGAGGTTTAGCTGCCTTCAGAACATCCAGATCAGGGTCTAGGGAGCGACTGAGACCTTCCAAAACCATTATGGCAAAAACAACACAGGCAAAGTTGCTTTCCAATTTTACCTAAAAGCACAAAGATAATAAAACAGGTGAAAAAAATTCAGCTATTTGTTATAAATAAAAATTATATTCACATTTTCAGATTTTTTTAATAAAAATGTTTACAATAGGAATTAAAACAAATGCAATAGTTTGTAATTGACTTTCTGAGGAAACTGGCAGAGAAGGCTGCAAATAGCAATCATATGATCATGGGGTTCTTAGCAACTTTATAACAGGGTAACAGAGTTGGAAGGGATCTTGCAGGATCATCTAGTCCAACCCCCTGCTCAAGCACGAGACCTTGTACTGTTTCTGACAAGTGGTTGTCCAGTCTCTTCTTGAAAGCCTCCAGTGATGAAGTACCCACAACCTCTGAAGGCAAGCTGTTCCATTGGTTGATTATTCTCACTTATTTCTAGGTTGAGTCTCTCCTTGATCCGTTTTGTATCTATTTTCTACTTGCTTCTACTTGTTGTAGATGCAAACAGGTTCCCAAGCACCCGGACAGCAATCATGTGACTATGGGAAGTGGGCTGTAGAGTGACATTTTATGTCAATCAGAAGTACTTTATGGCCCTTAAAGCACCTTTTTCCAGGCCATTGTAACTTGGAATAATCATTAAACGGCCAGTCATAAATTGAGGACTACCTATATTGACTATTTTCAGCAGTCAAAATTTTTTGGGACTTTGTTTTTGTACTACAGCATCCAGAAACACTAGATATGCAATGCTTTACATGAGATACACATCCTGCTTGTTACATGGCTTTAAGCCACTGTGAAAAAGTTCTTACACGTAAATGATCTCACCTGATGGATCATAAGTAACCTGAAAACACTGGATAATAAGCTTGCAACTTGAAACTGCAATAGAAAAAAAAATACAATTCAATTGATCAGGGCATCATAATAAGGAATCACGAATTCAAATATAGCTTAGAATCATGCCAAGGACTGGAAAACAGATTTTTAACATTACTGAAATGTGTTTAGAATTAGTGTGTATAATTTCTGTCAGATGAAGAGCCAAATAAGGCTTCCTGCATCATTCTGAACAACTGAACTCAACTCCCAGAGCAGGACCCAAAATAGGCCTGATTTTCTTTGGGGGGAGGGGAGTGCTAACTTTGCCCCTTAAATTCCCCTCCTCAAATGCAAAAAATGGATTCTAAAGCTCTGTAGTGGCAGCCCCTGGCGTAATACTGTTATATCCCAGACTTGGATTATAGGAAGCAGTATACTTTTATCAGATCATATTCTGTGTACTCCTGCGTTACTGACACTGACTGGCAACGATCCTTCTTAAAATATTTCTATTGAAGTTTAGAATTACAGTATGAAGATAAAATTATGAAGCTGCAGTATACTTTTATCAGATCATGTTCTGTGTACTCCTGCGTTACTGACACTGACTGGCAATGATCCTTCTTAAAGTATTTCTACTGAAGTTTAAAATTACGAAGATTAAAAAATACAAACTAAGAGGATTATAAATAAGAATAAGTAGAAAGTACAAAAAGGGAAAAAAAGATGGAGAGGGGAAAATATGAAAAATGATGGAAAAAAACAGGAAATCAAATTTACCAACCCTAGGCAAAATGAGGATAAGACTTGGCACCATCTGAGCTTATCTCTGGCTCCCTGGGAAGCCCAAACCTAATTATATAACCAAGTCTTGAGGGACTTTCAGAATATCAAAAGGAATGGAGCTAATTTGGGAGGAAGGCATTTCGCCTGAGAATCACCAAATATACTGTAGGTCTCTGGCTGATTGTACCCAGAGCATGGCTTCTCTGCCCTATGTCGTGGGGCAGGCCATGCATTGTGCTCAGAGCACACTGAAACAGAAGCTGACCTTCTCCAGGGCAACAGCACTGCTTCTGGCCCTTGTCACCAATTCTGCCATGTCAGCCTTGAATTTCTCAACATCCTTGCACTGGTTAGCTCTGGAGTGATGAAGAATCAATTCAGCCACTTTTTCTCCCTATGGAATAAATTAGATTTTATGGAGATGGATTCAAGGCATGATGTTTGCTAAACAAACCTCCCCACTTTCAAGGAATTTCTCCCCCAGCCCCTGCTGTTCTCCAATATTTGTCTTTATTGGAGTTCTTATTCCAACATAGTTAAGATCAAAATATAACAGGCCAAGTAGAACCTAAAGAGTTTTGGTGCAAACATATAGCTACCCCTGATTTTTTTAACCATGGAGTAAATCCTGATCCAAAATTCATGATTTCTAACTCTAGTTAAAGGATTTCCAGTTAGTTCAACCATAATTAGTACTCATTGAGATTGATGATGATGACGATAATGATGATGATGGAAGGGACCTTGGAGGTCATCTAGTCCAACCCGCTGCTCATGCAGGAAACCCTATACCATTTCAGACAAATGGCTGTCCAGTCTCTTCTTAAAAACTTCCAGTGTTGGAGTATTCACAGCTTCTGGAGGCAGGTTGTTCCATTGATTAATTGTTTTAACTGTCAGAAAATTTCTCCTTAGTTCTAGGTTGCTTCTCTCTTTGGTTAGTTTCCATCCATTGCTTCTTGTCCTGCCTTCAGCTGCTTTGGAGAATAGCTTAATTCCCTCTTCTTTGTGGCAGCCCCTGAGATATTGGAACTATCATGTCACCCCTTGTCCTTCTCTTCATTAGACTAGACATATCCAATTCCAGCAACCATTCCTTGTATGTTTTAGCCTCCAGGCCCCTAATCATCTTTGTTGCTCTTCTCTGTACTCTTTCTAGAGTCTCAACATCTTTTTTACATCGTGACCAAAACTGGATGCAGTATTCCAAGTGTGGCCTTACGAAGGCATTGTAAAGTGGTATTAACACTTTACGTGATCTTGATTCTATCTCTCTGTTAATGCAGCCTAGCACTGTGTTGGCTTTTTTGGCAGCTGCAGTTGTTGGGTCTTCATCTTTTAGTAAATTACAACATGCCATTATTTGCTTGATTTTCATTAGCATGTTTGGAAACCCAACCAATGATTCTGGAATTCAGGAATTATCATGTGCAAACCCTGCAAAATATAATGTATTCAAAAACCTATGTCTCAATACAATGTATGAACCATGTCTCTAACTCAACATAATAGACCTTTTATGAGGCACAACACTGGAGAGATGAATCATGAAAAGCACGCTATACTTTTCAAAGAGCAGATGTTTCTTCTGAACTTTTGAAAATATGTAAGTCACAGCTTAAACTCAGGACTCACCTGCCCTAATACAACAGCAGTGAACACTGCTCGGAAGTTCTCCAGATCTCCGCTCTGCAACTCAGCTACAATCCCTGCATCCAGAAGCACTAGACGGAGTGGTGAGGAAGAGGGTTGTAATTCTACAATTAATGTATCCAACAGATCCACTATGACTGCCCCATCTTCAGGATGATCACCAAACTGTTCTGCTCCCTGTACCAGGATATTCCCAGGATGCAGATCAGCATGGACAAAGTTATCAACAAACACCTGAATGATTGAAAAACACAGTTTGTTAAAAAAAAAGTTACACCTTCTCCTGGCAAGTAATTCATATTAAGAAGCCATTATCTAGTATAGGATCACTGTTTTCAACAGCCTCCAATGCCTTAGAATGCAGTTGATTTGGCAAGCCCCCTCTTAAAGATTTTTGCTTAAGGATTTTTGCTAAATATTTTATGTATTTAAGCATATTTCCTGGGGAAAATCAAGCAATTTCCCTCAGGCCTCTAGCCTCTATCTCTTGTGGGTGTAGGTTTAAAAGGGGTTATTTTAGCTACATAAGCAAGACCACACTTACTTAAGCAAGAGTAGCAGTGGAAACAAATGGGAGCCACAAAAAATGTCTGTTTTCATTTGGGATTCCAAAACAGTTTTTAGTCCCTGTCCTTTCAGTTTCTATCCCCACCTAGCAACATGTTCCATTTTCACTGGGCTGTTTCTTTAGGAAGGCTTTACCATTTAGTGTTTTCCTTCCCAAATAGGGAATTATTGCTTTGTCATTCCAGCTCCCAGACAAGATCTATCATGCCTGGTTTTCACTTGCCAGCAATTTTAAGAGCAGAATTCATTATGTAGTATAATTTATTCAGATTGCACCATTGGGATTACTTGGTTTTAAAAAATAATACTCCATATGATTTTATTACAATGTAAGCTAAATTGAAGAAACTGGCCAAGCACAGCTTAACAATGTTCTCTTACCATCTTTAGAAGCATATCCATTCCCATCTTGGCTATTTTTTGCCGTAGTTCCATTTTGGTATCTATGTGCAAATACTGGGATATGGGTTTGCTCTCCTTAAACAAAGACCAGGAAAATCAGGAAAATCGGTATTCGCTTGCCAACAAATCTTTCAAGAATATAATGTATGATGAAACATGAGGTCTAAAAGTCATATCTAGTATAAACATTATCTAGTATGGGCTGCAGACTATGACCAGGCTTCTGCATTAAAATATAAGCCATTGTCAGCACTGCAAAGATGCTGCCTCTCAACATTACACCTATGTAGTCATAATAGCATTCATGTCCAGTGTAGAAATACAGTGTGGTTTTGTAGCCTTTAAAGCTTAAGCACCTTTAATGAATGCAGTTATCTACAGATCTGCTTCTGGAGACGTGTTTTTCTTTCATGTACTCCTAGGTTTGTGATCCTCTTTCAAGGGCTAAACCAGTGATGGCGAACCTTTTAGAGACCAAGTGCCCAAAACCTGCCCCCCCCCCACTCCACTTCCCGCGCTGCCTGCTCTGCTCCCACCCCCCCGCCCCACCTACCCACAGGGTCATGCACGTCCATGGCCCGCCGCAGATTGCCCAGGCAGCCCTGCAACGCCACGGCAGCCACGCCCTCCACCCACACCCCTCAGCATCATCTGCATGCTATGGGGGTGTGAGGGTGGAGTCTTGTTCCTTTTGCCCGGCTATGTACTTGGCTGTGCTGCTCCGTGCGGGCCGTACCCAGGGGCGACTCTCCTCCAGGGGGGCTGCTGGTGAGGAGGGAGCCGTGGGGGGAGGTGGGGCTGGGGCGATGGTGTGCGTGCCCACAGAGAGGACTCTGAATGCCACCTCTGGCACCCGTGCCATAGGTTCGCTAAACCATTATTTATTTCATCCTGAGTAAGACATCCAGCCCTCAAATCCCAAATTACACATAATGAAAAGTCTATGTAAGCCAAGAGTGTGCCGATGTTTGTGGAGATTCTCAATCATCCAGGTCATGGTGCTTTTTTTCAAAAGGCAACTGGACTTTCCTGATGTTTTCTTTGAAAACATTTCACTTCTCATCCAATAACTTCTTCAATTCTTCAGAAAAAGCTTCTTGGATGAGAAGCTAAATGTTTCAAAGAAAATACCAAGAATGTCCAGTTGCCTTTTTGGAAAATAAAAACATCTTTGGGCCAAAGGTGTACCCTTTGAGGCCAAGGATACCTTGCTTCCTTCAAAAGCTTAGGTACAACACTGATGATCTTTGAAAAGGTTGCCACTGAATAAGCATCAAAGTGACAGAATAAAAAAAGGATTAAATAATGTAAGATAATATTCATATTTAATAAAACTTAATTTAAATTAAATATTTTCTCTGTCTTTTTTACCATTTTGCTGTTGTTATTTTTCTGGCTCTGCCTCTATTTTTTGGAATAGTCTCCAGCTTAGGGAGATCTTCCATCAAACAAAGTTGAACATAGAACTACCGGTAGTTAAAGTATTTAATCAGCGCTCTTGTATTTAAATAGAGGGAAGTTTTTAAGTTTTTCTCAACTTTTTTCAATCCTGCCAAACTTTACCCTCAGGCCGGTAAAATTTAGGGGGAAGGGAAGTGAGAATCCATTGATACCGATGAAGTGATGAGCTTTCCTGACTCATGACATTAACAGTTTCTAACTATTCATAAAATCAGTTAAGATATATTTTTGTTAACTGACAGATGGAAAAGTCTCAGTGGAAATTCCAGATGTTGCTGAACCGGAACTCCTAGCATCTCTATTAGGCTGCTTCATCTAACCAGTATTCTTACCTCAAAAGTTTCCACCAGGATATTTTTTGTCACAAATGGGTGAATAGGAAGGGGAAACCTCACATAATCTGTACCTTGGAAATTCAGATGGAAGTGTTCTAGGTTTTTTGCTTCATAGCGCAAGTCAATCTAAAAGAAGTGAAGAAAAAAAGGATATGTATAAGGATCACACATTCTTACTACACTAAGATAACCATATTCAAATCCTTATTTAGTCATAAAACTATTCAAGAGCTCTGGTCTAATGCCTACCTAATAGCCTAAACTTCTTTAGAACATTGTTGAGTTTCCTACTTAATAATAATAAAATAAATAAATGAAACAATCTTATGAACAAGTATTGTCTTGTGCTACAATCGGTAATAATATGGATGACAAAACTGTTCAGATTGCTGAACAGAATACATCTTGATAAAAGATTCCACCTGGAATAAATCACCTGGATCACAGGCTTCTCTTTCCATCTACAGCAGAACCAAAATCACTTGATGTGCATCATGATGTCACAACAAAAAATCTGCCTTGTGACACATCTGGATTACAAGTGTCAAATTGTCCAAATGTCTTCCCTTCTCCTTTCTAGAGATATTTATAATTGTTTTTGGTCTCACACAACAAACTAATACTGTATTTGGTCATATTTTCTTACTGATATCTTAAATATGCTTGCTCCTGGGGAGGAAAGCTATGGCAAATCTAGACAGCATACTAAAAAGCAGAGACATCACCCTGCCAACAAAAGTGCGTATAGTCCAGGCCATGGTTTTCCCAGTTGCAATGTATGGCTGTAAAAGTTGGACCATAAGAAAGGCTGAGCGCCAAAGAATTGAGGCCTTTGAACTATGGTGCTGGAGAAGACTCCTGCGAGTCCCTTGGACTGCAAGGCGTTCAAACCGGTCAGTCCTACAAGAGATCAACCCCAACTGCTCTTTAGAAGGCCAGATCCTGAAGTTGAAACTCAAATACTTTGGCCACCTGATGAGAAGGAAGGACTCACTGGAGAAGGGCCTAATGCTGGGAAAGATGAAGGGCAATAGAAGAAAGGGACGACAGAGAATGAGATGGCTGGATGGAGTCACTGAAGCAGTAGGTGTGAACTTAAATGGACTCCAGAAGGTGGTAGAGGACAGGAAGACCTGGAGGAACGTTGTCCATGGGGTCGCGATGGGTCAGACACGACTTCGCAATTAGCAACAACAACAACAAAAGGACATGGAAAATTTAAAACATGAAAGTCACATGAAATAAAATATTTGGTAATAAAATCAATCGGGGGGAAGCTATAGGTTTGCAGGAGGCCAAATTTGTATTTATTTACTAATAAAAACCCAATAAATAGGGATAGAAGGAACAGCTAAAAAGTTGATACAAGGTACAGGTTGATGGAGAAGATACAGAAAACCAAAATTAATACCAAACATTAAATTCTTCTAAAACTTTATAGGCCCTACTTATTTAGAAATATTAATCCTATCTCAGTTGCAATAATGTGAAATGAAATTCCACAAATTGAAGGCTGTGAAGTATAAATAATGCTTCCCATAGTGCAGTGTTTCTCAACCTCAGCAACTTTAACACATAGCTGAAGTCCACACACCTTAATGTTCCTGAAAATGAGAAACACAGGCTTAGAGAGACATGAGGGTAGAAAATAAAATAATAAAACAAAACTATAAGCCAAATTTCAAGGCAAACTGTTTCTACCTGCTGAATCATGAGTTTCTCAAATTCTTCCACAATCTCAGTCACACTGAGCCACCTAATTCCAGGGAAAAGCTCAAGAAATCGACTGCCAATTTTCATGAGAAATAAATCCATCTGGACCTGCTGAACTAATCCAGGATGCAGCACCTAAGCAAGACACAAGACAAACAATCTCTTATGAACAAATACCCATCACTGTCAACAATTCAGTTATTGTGATGATATGGTCCATACTTCCAGATTTTATTATTTATTGTATGGGGATTGAAATACTGTCAGGAAGCTTCTCTGTTCTTATGAATACTGGTCTTTATTATCTGTGGGACAAAGTCTCTCAAACTTGGCAATTTGAAGATGTGTGGACTTCAACCCCCAGAATTCCCCAATCGAAGGTTGAAAAACACTGTTCTGGGCTATTGAAATAGATTTATAAGTTTAATAATAATAATAATGATAAAGTTGGAAGGGACCTTGGAGGTCATCTAGTCCAACCCCCTGCTCAGGCAGGAAACCCTATACCATTTCGGACAAATGGCTGTCCAGTTTCTTCTTGAAAACTTCCTGTGTTGGAGCATTCACCGCTTCTGGAGGCAGATTGTTCTACTGGTTAATTGTTCTTACTGTCAGGAAGTTTCTCCTTAGCTCTAGGATGCTTCTCTCTTTGTGTAAGGACCCACCCCACTTTGCATCTTAAGAAGACAGAACTCTTGGAATAGCTCTTCCAACAGGAATCCTTTATTAAGAGAAAATGGTTGCAGGCATGCTAGACAGGACTTGGGGTTCAAGCTCTCCCATTCAAGGTTTTAAGGGGTTCCCCAGTAGTCCCACCCAATCAACCCCCCTTCCAGTGATAGTTTCAAGTATCACAATTCCATCCCCTTTCTTCTTCCGTCTGGATGGAGACTTCAGATAACTACATGAAAGGCAATTACTCTTCTTTGATATGTTAAAGCTTAGAGGCCACAATAAACACACATTCAGTCCTTTGAAGTGTGCTGAAGGAAGTGAGGGCCATAAAGCCCCTTTGCTCTCCCCCTTTTCTCCCTCTTATGGCAGAATCCAGAGAAGGCAGAATTGGGAGTTTCTATGTTTGATAATTAAAGATGAAATATAATTGGATTCTGACATCCGGCCCCTCTTAACAATAAGAGAGATCCACCTGAAAGAAAACACAAGTAAAAAATTTAGTTAGGCTTGTTAGGATACTCTGTGTGAAACTTCTTCAATAGCTTCGGGGCTCTGACGTGACGTTTATGGACCCACTCATTTTGTGAGGCAGGGAGGTGTTTCCAGGCAACTAGGTACTGAGTTGTTCCACGATATCTCCTAGAGTCAAGGATCTCTTTTATTTCGAAGTGTTGTTCCCCCTCCACCATGATTGGAGGTGGTGGGGGGGGGATTTTTGGCCGTAGAGGTGACTGATGCTCTCTTTTCAGCAAGCTGCAATGAAAAATTGGGTGTATTTGCCTGAGGTTTTTGGGTAATTCTAATTCTACTGTTACTGGATTTATGATCCTTTTAATTGGAAAAGGTCCTATATATTTTGGTCCAAGTTTTTTACAGGGCTGTAGGGACTTTAGGTATTTTGTAGATAAGTACACCATTTCTCCTATAATGAATGGTGTAGGCTCAACCCTTTTTTTATCGGCTTGTGCTTTGTATGCCCGCCTAGCTTCATCTAGTGATTTTCTGACTATTGGCCAGGTGTTTTGTAGGTTTTCCATCCATTCTTTCAGTGAAGGGATCGTTGGTTCTTTTGGGGTTAACTCTGGCATAGGGTTGAAACTTTGGCCGTTGGCTATTTGAAAAGGAGTGTAGCCTGTGCTGGAGTGGACTGCATTATTGTAGGCAACTTCTGCAAAAGGAAGTAAGTCCGTCCAATCACTCTGTTGGAAATTTAAAAAACATCTCAAATATTGCTCAAGTACCGACTGGCAGCGTTCCGCTTGTCCATCTGTCTGAGGGTGATGGCTAGATGTCAGTCCCTGAGTGGTCCCTAAGAGGGATAAAAATTCCTTCCAAAATGTAGACGTAAATTGCACTCCCCTATCAGAGATGATGCGTTGGGGTGCCCCGTGCAATCTGTAAATGTGCTGGATAAAAAGTTTTGCTAAGGCCTTTGCAGTGGGAATTTTTTGGCAAGGGATAAAGTGCACCTGTTTGGAAAATAGGTCCGTGACTGTCCAGATAACAGTATTCCCATTGCTTTCAGGCAATTCCACTATAAAATCCATGGCTATTTCCCTCCAGGGGGCTGAGGGACTTGCCACTGGTTGTAACAGCCCTGGCGATTTCCCTTGCAACCTCTTTGCTGATGCACAGGTTGGGCAGCTGGCAACATAACTTTCTATGTCCTTTTTTATTGATGGCCACCAAAATTGCCGTTTAATTAAGTGTAAAGTTTTTACAAATCCAAAATGCCCTGCTGATTTTGTGTCATGGCAAAGTTGCATGAAAGTTAGTCTTTGAGTTGTTGGTATATATAACTTTTCCCCTACCCAAGGCAATCCGTCTCTCATTGTGCACACATGTTTGTTTTTCTGGAACCAATCATCTGTTTCCAAACTTTTTCTGAATTCAATCCCAGTTTGGCTGTCCAGTTGTGGTTTTATTTTGGCTTGGGTTCTTGTGGTTACTGGCGCTGCCAGTTGTGATTCTGCCATTATTGGTCTAGAGTCTGTGGTTCGTGCGCTGTTATATTGGGGCATGCGAGATAGTGCATCTGCCAGGAAGTTCTTTCTTCCTGGTAAATGTTTGAGCTTAAATTGGAATTGGTGAAAATGCTGGGACCAGCGGGCTTGTTTGGGATTGAGTTTCCTGGAAGTTTTCAGGGCTTCTAAATTTTTGTGATCAGTCCATACCTGGAAGGGGATTTTGTTGCCTTCCAGGAACTGTCGCCACGTGAGTAATGCCCAACGTATCCCATAAGCCTCCTTCTCCCATACGGGCCAGCGCTGTTCTGTTTCCGTGAGTTTCTTAGATGTATATGCACAGGGTTGCAATACTGCATCATCATTTTCTTGTAATAGCACAGCCCCCACTGCCACATCACTTGCATCTGCCTGTATTATGAAGGGCTTGTCCATGTCTGGGTGCCTTAGTACTGGTTCGGCAGAAAAAAGTCTCTTTAGTCTCTCAAACGCTGCTTGGCACTCCATTGTCCATGTTAGTGGCTGGCTAGGTTTTACTGAGGATGTTCCCTTCGTTTTTAGTAAGTTAGTGAGGGGCAAGGCTATCTGTGCAAATGAGGGGATGAATTGGCGGTAAAAATTTGCAAAGCCCAGGAAACTTTGTAGTTGCTTTCTTGTGCGGGGTGGTACCCATTCTAATACTGCTCTGACCTTCTCTGGGTCCATTTCAATGCCCTGTGGGGATATGCGATAGCCTAGGTAGTCTATCCTTTCCTGGTGGAATTCGCATTTTGAGAGTTTGGCATATAGGTGAGCGGCTCGCAGCTTCTTTAAAACCGCTCTGACAAGTTTGACGTGTTCTTCTTTTGTTTCGGTAAAGATAAGAATGTCGTCCAAGTAAACAAGGACCCCCTTAAACAGGTGCTCCCTTAGAACGTCATTGATTAATTGCATAAAGACTGCAGGGCCCCCTTGTAATCCAAATGGCAAGACTTTGAATTGATAGCACCCCATGGGGCAGTTAAATGCAGTCTTCCATTCGTCCCCTTCCTTGATTCTCACGCGATAGTAAGCTTCCCTTAAGTCTAGTTTAGAAAAAATTTTCCCTTTCGATAGGTGTGACAGCATGTCTTTCATGAGGGGCAGCGGGTATAGGTTGCTTTCACTGATTGTGTTCAGGGCCCTATAATCCACGCATAAACGTAAAGAGCCATCCTTCTTCTCTCTAAAAAGGACCGGGGCAGCCACTTTAGGCTTAGCTGGTTCAATGAAACCTCTCTCCAGGTTTTTTTTTATAAATCTTTCCATTTCCTCCTTCTCCTTTGGGCTCATGGAGTATAATCTGGGTTCGGGAGTTTTGCCCCAGGCTTGAATTCAATGGTACAGTCTGTGGGTCGGTGGGGGGGAAGCTCATTCGCCCTCTCCTCACTGAAGACTTCAGCAAGGTCCCTATATTCCTCTGGTATTTCTGTTAATCTTTTTCCTCTCCTATGGATGCTTTTTCTATTCTTGATTCTGGTAGCCTCTCCTTGGGGTTTTAAGTCCATAGGGTCCCCCTTCGGGAATTTGATTTCTGTCGTCCTCCAATTTACCCAGGGGTTCCATTTTTTCAACCATTCCATCCCTAGAATCATTGGGCATTCCATACCTGGGGTCACCACAAACGTTAAGTCCTCTTCATGGTTGCCCAGGGAGAGGTGTATTGGCAGAGTGGCTAGGGTAGCTGGCACCCCCCCTGCTATGGATCCATCTAGCTGGCCAAATGAGATTGGTTGTTCCAGTCTCCTGGATGGGATGCCCAGATTCCCCACTAGTGTTGGGCTAATGAGGCAGCGGGTGCAGCCAGAGTCTATTAAGGCTTTCACCTTCACAGCTTCGGGCATGGGGGGGATTAATATAGTCACTGTTTTGAAGATGGGTGTGATGCGTCCACTTACCAGGGGTTCGCCTTCCGAGCTGTCATCTGAGGCATCCACCGTCCCTGTGGTGTAGGCTGGAGTTCTTTCCCCTTGGTGAGCAGAGGTGGGGTTTTCTGCAATTTCCATCATTTTCATGGCTGTTTCTTTTGGCTTAGCTGAATACCTCTGGGTTTGTTGATTGGGGATCTGTCTGGGTTGTGCTGGGGGGCCTTTGAGCGGCATTCTACAGCTCGATGCCTTCTCTTCCGCACTTGAAACACCCCATTGCTTCTTGGCTGTATCCGATGATTTCACCGGTTGGTGTGTCAGCTCAGGCGGGGGGCGGCTCCATTGTTTTCCTCGGCGATGCCTCTTCAATATGTCGATCTCTGCTTCCTCTGCCAAGACGTACCATTCCTCAAGTCGATGTGGGTCTCCTCGGGGCAGGCAAGCATCATATAGATCATAGTTTAGTCCGTCTTTGAAACGGCCAAGGAGGATGTCTTCTGGCCAATTCAGTTTGCTGGCAATGGCCCGGAATTCTTGTGTATACTCAGCCACTGGGCGTTTGCCCTGCCTCATCGTTGTTATTCTTTCACGGGCTTTGCGATCAGCCAGGGGGTCTTCAAATCGTCTTCTCAACGAGGACATGAAACGGTTGAAGTTACTGAGTTCTGGGGCATTGGAGTCATGCAGGTTCACCACCCAATCTGCAGCTGGTCCATCCAGGGCAGATTGCACGATCCGGATGCGGGCTTTGTCGCTGGGGATGTCCTGCCCATATTCCTCCATGTAGCTGAGGACTTGGGTTAGGAAAAACCCCAAGCGTGTTGGCTCCCCTTTGAATTTCACCTCCAACGGTGGACGTCTTGGAATGGATCGGTGCCTCCATTGTGGGTGGTAGTGTCTTCCGTCCAGATTTCCATCTGTGGTCCGGTAGGGGGTGGGAGCTCCTGGATCAGTAAAGTCCCTGGGGTTGCAGGTTCCACGTCCCCCTCGGTGTCTCTCCCTTTGTGGCTCCAGGAACTGGGGCGGGCGTAGGGCTCAGGAATCTCCTCTCCTAGGGAGCTGAGAGTTCTCTTCATCAGGTCAATAGCTCTCTCGAGGATCCAGTCTGAGTACGGCATACAGCTTCCTCCCTCTTCACTTGCGTGCAGGGATTTCTCCATCTCCTGCTTCCATTCTGGTTGCTTGGTTCCCCGTCTCAGGGTCACTTTTCTTGATTCCTTTCCCCACTCGCTGTTCTTTCCAACGCCCATCGACCAGCGAGGCTTGTGGTCCTGTGTCTCCACCACTTCTTCTTCTGAGAAATCTGGCCTCTCGGATCCCAACATCTGGCAAGGTTCCAACTGGGTCAGCGGCTCTCTGTCCAGGGAGTTTTCTCCCTCTCTTGCTTCGGTGTCTGACATGGTAAATTTTTGCAAAATCCCCCGGCAAGGGTCTACCTTCCAGGTGGATTAATTTTGCAAGTCCTGTCTAATGTAAGGACCCACCCCACTTTGCATCTTAAGAAGACAGAACTCTTGGAATAGCTCTTCCAAAAGGAATCCTTTATTAAGAGAAAATGGTTGCAGGCATGCTAGACAGGACTTGGGGTTCAAGCTCTCCCATTCAAGGTTTTAAGGGGTTCCCCAGTAGTCCCACCCAATCAACCCCCCTTCCAGTGATAGTTTCAAGTATCACAATTCCATCCCTTTTCTTCTTCCGTCTGGATGGAGACTTCAGATAACTACATGAAAGGCAATTACTCTTCTTTGATCTGTTAAAGCTTAGAGGCCACAATAAACACACATTCAGTCCTTTGAAGTGTGCTGAAGGAAGTGAGGGCCATAAAGCCCCTTTGCTCTCCCCCTTTTCTCCCTCTTATGGCAGAATCCAGAGAAGGCAGAATTGGGAGTTTCTATGTTTGATAATTAAAGATGAAATATAATTGGATTCTGACACTTTGGTTAGTTTTCACCTGTTACTTCTTGTCCTGCCTTCAGGCACTTTGGAAAATAGCTTGACTCCCTCTTCTTTGTGGCAGCCCCTGAGATATTGGAACACTGCTATTATGTCTCCCCTCGTCCTTCTCTTCGTTAAACCAGACATACCCAATTCCAGCAACCGTTCCTTATATGTTTTAGCCTCCAGTCCCCTAATCATCTTTGTTGCTCTTCTCTGTACTCTTTCTAGAGTCTCAACATCTTTTTTACATTGTGGTGACCAAAACTGGATGCAGTATTCCAAGTGTGGCTTTACCAAGCATTGTAAAGTGGTATTAATACTTCACGTGTTCTTGATTCTATCCCTCTGTTAATGCAGCCTAGCACTGTGTTGACTTTTTTGGCAGCTGCAGCACACTGCTGGCTCATATTTAAATGATTGTCCACTAGGACTCCGAGATCCCTCTCACAGTTACTACTATTGAGCAAGGTACCCCCTATATTATACCTGTACATTTGGTTTTTCTTGCCTAAATGTAGAATGAGCTAAAAAGGTGCCTCTGAATAAACTGGGGAGATTTCAAGAACATCTTATTTAAAATCAATACCACCACCAATGAGCACAAAATTTTTAGAATAAACTACCTGCACAAATACAGTTGCTTTGCTGGCCTGGCATTCAGAAAATAGTGAAAAAGATATTGCTGGAGTGATCAAGTTTGGAGAAAACAATAAAACATACCAGAGGACCAAAAAAAAAGATTCTCTTTTTTCCTCAGCCATCTTGTCATTTTACTCATATGCATATTTAATTGATCCTCATTATGCTGGGATAATAAATCAAGGCTTTATTCCTGTTGCATCAATTGTTCTGGGCATATAAACTCCTGAATTCAACAGAACATAGTTCCAAGTACAGACATGTAGAATCAAATTATAACTTGAGATAGGTATTTGAAATTGCATCATTTCACTAAATACATTATTATAATTCTAGAACTGTAACATTTATTTTAGTGACAGAAGTATTACATTGCCATTTTTGGAGACTTCTCAATCCAGTCTAACTCTGGGATTACTAACTCTGGGATTACCATCAACTAAGCCCCACCAGACACCAAACAGGGCCTGACCGTGTTTAGTTCTTCAAGTTCTGCTAAAATAGATTGGTTACTACAGCTTGCATTTCAGAAAAAAATTGTAAATTGTTTTTATGCTTTAAATATTTTAACTTAATCCATCTATCCATTTTGTTATGTGCTGCTAAGTAGGAATGAACAGTTCTGCATGATATTACCTTAATGGCTACTGGGAAAATATGGTTTTCCTTGCAAAATAAGGGTGGGCTTAGACTTCCAGAACTGGAATTCTGTACAACGCTTTCATAGAAATCATATTTGTGAAGAGGTTGATGGTCACCTTCCAAAACATCTTTGTGCTTCCTCCACCAGAACCATCTTAAAAGTTCTTTAAGACCTGAGGTCTTCCACACCTCCAAAGCAGCATCAAACACAGAAGTCTTTGCACGTTCACTCAGCACTGGGTCTCTTAATATGGAATTATCTACATAAGCTTTGTATACTTGAGCCACACAACCAGATCCAATAGGTTCTCTGCTTTCAAACATGAATATCTTCTCCCAGACTTCTCCAAAGGCTTTCTCCAAAGAGTGTTTGGTGTAATCCCAAGAGTGAGGAATCACTTTGATATGAAGCTTGGAGAACTTCACACAAAACTCTTCCGAAAAGAGGTCCCGTCTGGTGCTTGCCCACTGTCCCAATTTTATGAATGTGGGACCACAGGATTCTGTAATCTTAAGAAGCACATGGAACCAGAGTGAGGCAAAGCTCGGAGAAAAATAGGTAAAAGGATAAAACCAGATCAAAGGGCTAAACTTCAAAAACAAGATGAAACCTCGGATAACTGCAGAGAAGGCAAATCCAAGACTCTGAAGAAAAGCCACTGAAGAAAGCCTGGCTTGACTAAGAAAACTATCAATATTGGTTTGGACAATTTTACTAGCTACACCTTCACATTTTGCCTCCTGTGACAATCTTTCAATCCCCCAACATACAAATAGGATCTTGGCCACTGCTTGGCATTCAGACCAATTCTGAATGTTAACATGAGTCGCGTGTGTCTTCCTCCATTTTCTTATAAAGCACAGGGTTTTCTTCCCAGTGAGGATTCTGACACTGGTAAAGAAGTTCCGGGCAGTGCAGTAACAGAAAATACTCATCCTTCCTGAAGTGGAGATATTAAGGCTCTGAAAAAGAAGAAGGATTCATCTCGTGGACTTGAGGAAACCATCTGAGAAGGTAAAGGTGGAAGTGCTCAGCTTTCCAAGAGGGAGGCCGTGTAATACGGGAGGACCCCTCGGAGAGCCTATTACGACGTTTGCAAGAAGAGGCATCAGCCCTCCACTCTCGTGCATCCTTGAATCACCCAAGCAGAGCAAGGCGGCATGTTTTGAGATGCAATCTCCTCCGTGTTTTGGTAATTACGGGGCACGCAGCGGAAATCCTAGCCAGCTGTGGCTAACGTGAATTCGCCTGCCTCCGACTGCTCACTTAGGTTGGGTTTTTTTTTTAAATTGTCGTTTCCTTTTCGCTTTACAGTAATTTGCAAAGCGACGTTGCTTTCATCTCCGGCTTCTTTCGAGAGAGAGAGAGAGAGAGAAAACGATTCATCGGCCCTGCAAATTTTCATCTACGATTGCTACCGTGAATTTTGCCCGGTTGGATTGGGGAGACCGTCTGTAGAACGCCCAGGTATCACCTTCAATGGGACGGGCGTTTCATCGAATCCGGCGGGAGGGCAAATGGAACGAAAACAAACGACAGCGTTCCAATTCCAAAGGCTTCCGGAACGCCCTCTCCCCGCCGGCCGGGGTGAAATTCCCGCCTCTTAAAGAGACAGGCCGCGAATAAGCTCGCAGAGCTTCTGTATCAGCTACACAATAACATCCTTCAAGATGCAATACAGGGACTTCTTTTATTGCCACCCCGAGTGGAAAACCTGAGAAAATTGGGAAATGTCTAGAAAACGTAGAAATCTTGAGCAGTGGATTTTCGTTTTAAAAATTGAATGCGTATCTTATGAACAGGATATAAACCCTCCTAGAAGCCAGAGGATAAAAACCGAGGGAGGGGGTGGCGGAGGTGGAAATAGGTCATTTAAGGATATAGTAAAATGCAAGTCAAGTAGCTCTGGTATCACAACAATGCAGACATTGGGTTCTGGGGGAGGGTGTCACATAGTACATAGTACAAGTTTAGCCTCATGTTTTCTTGACAAACCCCAACCTTCCCTATGCTTAGGGTTCCCCGTGTCCCAAGAAGTCAGAAAATAGGGCTGAAGGAAGAAATTCATGGTTGCAGATAAGCCTATCAGAGGAGATCAAGCTAAGAAAGTTTAGGCCATCATAAGAAGGATTATTACTTGCAACCAAGGCAGATAGCACACTGGAATTTGTGCTTTTTTTAAAAAAAGTATGTTTCTCTGTGGAAATTCTACACGTGGTCCTTGACTTACAACATTTCATTTAGTATCCTTTGAAGTTACAACGGCATTGAAAAAAGTGATTTATGACCATTTTCACACATAGACCATTGCATCATCCCCATGGTCATGTGATCAAAATTTAGACAGCAACTGCCTTGTATTTATGATGGTTGCAATGTCTTGAGGTCATGTGATCCCCTTTTGCAGGCTTCTGACAAGCAAAGTCAATGGGAAAGTCAGATTCACTTAACTACTGTGTTACTAATTTAACACCTCCAGTGAGTCATAACCATGTTAGAAGGTGAATCAGCTGCAGTAATTCACTTAACTGTGGCAAGAAAGTTCGTAAAATTGGTCAAATGTCACTTAACAACATCTCGCTTAGCAACAGAAATTTTGGGCTGAGTTGTGGTCATAAGTCGAGGGGACTTCCTATATTGACTTCACCGGGAGTTTGGCAGGATTGTACAGTCCAAAACCCACACTTAGGCTCTGGATGTTGTCCAGGAACAAGCCCTTTTAACTTCAATAATTGTAAACACTTTTAATTTTTAAAAAGACATCCTCAATTTCAGCTTAGTTCCTACATGGATCCATACTTCATGTCTTTTGGCAATAATATAGAAGTGAAATTTCCTTTCCCTTCTTTTGTTTTTTAGCTATCCCACCTACACCTATTCTACAGCTCTGGATTTTCTTGGTAGTGCTCATTCAAGCACACTCCCAAGATTGGCTAATATATTCCCCAAATTAGAATTTGGCAGATAGTTGGAAAGACTGCCTTCTATATTTATTTACAAGATTTAGAACAGTGGTTCTCAACCTTTTTAATGCCGCGACCCCCAACCGGTCGTAAGTCGAGGACTACTCAACCGGTCGTAAGTCGAGGACTACTCAACTGGTGCAGCACCGTTTGCAGAATGGGACTTTTGGCGGGCTCAGCAGGGCAGAGACAGCCTGGACAATTCCTATTGGCTTTTGAAAGCCAATAGAATTAGACTCTATTCAAGAGAGTCTATTCTATTGGCTTTCAAAAGCCAATAGAATAAAAGGGAGTAGCCCAGCTAAGGAAAATGGCGGACTGCGTTGTTTGGCGACCCCCGTGAAATGGTCGTTCGACCCCAAATGGGGTCCCGACCCACAGGTTGAGAACCACTGATTTAGAAGGTTGTTCAACTCCAAAATAACTCTGGGCAACCTGCTCAATTAAAAGACAAAAATTGAAAAATGCAAATAACACATAAGTCTGGATTTGGGTTTTTTTTTTTAAATCAAATATCTAAAAAATTGCACCAACATTGCCAGGGGCTCACAACCTAATCCAGGCCTGGGAGCAAAGGCATGTTTTTAAAGATGGGAGACATACACTTTCCAGGGCATAAGTTCTTATTATCGGAGAGGCCACCTGTCTCCAAAGGTTTCCCCTATCGAGTCAGATCAGGCAGAGGTGTTCCAGGTCCTTTCTATTAAAGAGTGTCATATAGTGGAGCCCCAAAAGCGCACCTTCTGTTATAGCACCTGCCCTCTGGAACAGCACATCTCTCCCACCCCCCATGAAGAATGTTATAGGTGACAACCAGCACTTTGAATTACATCTGGAGGTCAAATGGCAATCAATGCAGCTCACACAGCAGTGACACATGGGCAAATTGAGGCATGCCCGTTCCTGCCCATGCCACTGCATTTTGAATCAGCTGTAGCATCCAGACAGCCCTATGTAGAGCACATTGCAACAATTCAGTTGTGAGTTGACTAGGACATGAGTAACCAACTGAGGAAATTCCCAGTATAGGGAGATTACAGTTGACTGCAAAAGATGGACCTGTGCAAGGTTGTCCTGGCCAAAACTGCCACTCTTCTTTGAGCAGTAGCTGTGTGTCCAGGAGAATATCAAGGTTGTACATTAACCTCAAATGGAGAAATGCAACATCCTCCCCTTAAGCCCGCTCAGGTTTAGGTTACACATGCCAGGTCAGCACTCTCATCCATCATACAATCATTATTGTAGGGTAGACATATTTCAAAACCAACCTGGTATTCACAAACAGAGAGACAGAGACTAGGGCCCTCACAGATCCAGTCACTTTGGTACCAAGGCTGAATACTGAGGGTCAGATCTCAGGATCAATACTTTGCAAAACAAGCACCCTAATATTAGAGCATGTCCTGCTGAACTCAAATAATTTACTTCTGAATAAGCCTGTATATAGAATTATAGACCTATTCTCATGTACCTAACTGCAGATAAAGTGTAATTATCTGGATTAACCTGCTCTGCTTCTTAAAGTCTAATTACACTGATTTCTCATTATGCCTCTTTTCTTTATTAAGAAAATGCCACATACTGCAGTTGCCTAATGAACTATTTTTACATATATTTATAATATAATCTCTTGATTCTCTTTTTAATCTGCATGAGTAAACAAAGTTAGGTTAAGGAGACATTTTTCTTATTAATTAAATATAAAAATTAGCTGCTGGAGCTTGAAGAGAAGGATTTTTTAGTTAGTTTCAGGCAGCTGATTTTTCTATTTGGGTAATTGCAATACTTACCATATCACAAAGCTTTTAAATGTTCAGTGTTTGAAGAAAATTGTTTTATAATTCTTTAAAATATTAAAAGGAAAGCCAGTGTGACTAGTGGTTAAGGCACCAGACTAAAAACCAGGAAACTATAAGTTCTAGTCCTTGCCTTAGGCATGAAAGCCAGCTGGGTGACTTTGCACCAGTCATTCTTGCTTAGTCAAATCCACTCATAGGGTTGTTGCTGTGGGAAAAATAGGAGGAAGAAGGAGTATTACGTATGTTTGCTGCCTTGAGTTACTTAAAACATAATAAAGGTGGGGTAAAACTCTAATAAAAATGAATACAATTATCCGTATATAAATATTCTGTTTCTCTATCCACTTTTGCTAAAGTCTCTTCTAGTCTGATAGTATGACTGACATAAATTAAATTGCTTTCAAATTCTCAGATTATACTTGTTTGAAAATCTCTGTATTACATGAATGTAACCATTAGGACTTAATGACAAAACTGAATTATGTAAAATCATAGTTTAGGGCAGTGGTGGCGAACTATGGCACCGGTGCCAGAGGCGGCACTCGGAGCCTTCTCTGTGGGCACATGCACCATCTCCCCAGCCCCGCCTCCTCCCATGGCCCCTTCCTCACCAGCAGCTCCTCTGCAGGAAAGTTGCGCCTGGGTGCAGCCCACACAAAGCAGTGCAGCTAAGGACATGGTAGCCGGGCAGCAGGGACAAGACTCCGCCCTTGTGCCCCATCGCACGCAGATGATGCTGCGAGGCATGGACAGAGGGTGTGGCCGCCATGGCGCTGCTGGGCTGCCTGGGTGATCTGTGGCAGGCTATGGAGGTGGTGGGTAGCCCAGTGAGCAGGGCGGAGCAGGGACGGGGGTAGGGGGTGGTTTTTGGGCACTCGGTCTCCAAAAGGTTTGTCATCACTGGTTTAGTGCAATGTACAAATCCGCTCCAAGAAAACTTTTGTACAGTTCAGAAAACCAATTCATGTTAAATTTGCATCGGGTAGCAATTTTAAAAAGGGCTCTTCTAGAAGCAAAGTCTATTATCAAGCCTTTCCATATCAGTTGTATAATATGGAAGAGGGTTGAAACTTCGTTTTTGCATCATGATATTGCCAATTTTATCCCTTTCCATTGTTGCAGTTTGTGCCAAATTTCTATACAAAGTAAACACAATGGAAATAACTGTTATAATATTCTTCTCAAACAACTGTTAGTCAATTTGAGTCTAAATATTGCTTACAGTTTAGCATATTGTAGCATATTGTGATTTGTAAACTGTGTTTCTTGGCTTGGCATGTAGCAGGACTCCAATTATTCTGTTTATTTTTGAAAAAATTCTGTTTTTTATAAAAGGCTAATTAGTTTATGTTTTATAAAACTCCAAGGCCCTTGGGGTAAAAAATACTACAAGTGACACAATGAGTTTTTGTCTACGATGTTTAATGTTGTATCCTAAAATATATCTGAAATGTTGTTAGGCTGAGCTTTAAAACCATCTAGTCATGAAGGAATGCCATCACGCTCCAAAAACAGGATGGCCACAATCAAACAAACATTTTCCAATCCAGCTCTTCCTACTCTAGCAACATCCAGATAACCTGGATCTATTATCTAATGAAGTCTGGCGGTCCAAATTAGCAATGAGGGCAGCTATCCTGTATTTGTCATGCATTTTTTAAATTAACACCTGGAAAAGAGTCTTAGACAAGCTAACTCTATTTACTGTTGTAAGCTGTGAGATAACAAGTTTTCTACTCTAATCCCAATGGGATAATTATTTCTCTCTTTTGTTTTATTAGGCACCCAATGCCTGCTAGATTCTTAATCCTCTGGAGTTTGTAACCTTCCCTTGTTAATGTCTAAAACTGAGCAGCTTGGGGGGTGGGGTAGAGGGGAAGACAGAAGGTTGAAAAGCTATAATAAATATTGCCCAGCAAAAGTGTCAGGGAATTGCTCAGCTGGTGTCCAAATGAAGTCATAGACACTGACACGAGCTTGTAATTTTATATAAATACATATATTTATATCAAACAAGACAGTCAGGCAAACAAGAGCATTGACAGGTAAATCAACACAGTAGGAACATCACAGGTAAATTACAGGGCAAACAGAAGAAAAAGGTGGGGGGGAAAGGGAAACTCCCCCTCCACACCCACAGAAACCAATCACAGCGTAGATTGCCTCACATAGGAGTCAGCCCTCTCCAGCCAATCACAACTGTGTGTACTGGTTCATGGCACAATTCACTGTTCCAGCTACTAAATTTAAACACCTTAACAAAAACAAAAACACCTTTGTGAGTTGAATTCCAAAGACTGTCCCCATTGCTCAGGCCCACTGCAGCAGATGGGGGAAAGACCCCTGGTGCTGTTAATAAATGGGACAATTTTAATAAACATTTCAGTTTTATGGTTTCTGGAATCTCCTTTCATGGCCTTCTGCTTCAGTTTGCACCCTGAAAATTCTGAATTAGCTGGCTACCCAAGAATTTTAGAAAACAGCACTTGTAATCTAACTAGTAGGCTCCATCTTGAGAAAGCTGTCCTGGACTTATATAAAGAAATACAGAATCCACAGGTTGGCTATGAGTTCAGGAGAATCTGTGCAAAAAAAGAATTGTTAATCATATCTTTACTGTCCAATATTTCCCAGGCTTGAAATTGGGAACACCTCATGGAACAAAGGAAGAGATTTTATAGTCCTCCTCCATCAGCCCTAAATGAAACTTCTGCTCAGCCTATTTTAGGCTGAAATTGTTTCCTCCGCAGTCATTTAAAAAATTAAAAACAAGTCATCAGAAGTCAAGCTTTAATCTGCTGGAGACTTTGCCTTTTTTTCCTTGCCAATCCAGTGGAATGTTGGAAATTATGTAAAACATTACATTTTGGAATATATAGCATCTTATACTGATGCATTTTTATGTGCCAGATATTAGAGGTGAGAAGCATTCATTCCCCAGTAAGAGATTCATTGTAATATTCTATGCGTGTTGCCTTAGATACAATGCAAATGCAATGTAATTCTGTCCAGTTCAAACCCTAACATGCTTGGAAAAAGATTATAGACCCTTGCAATAAATCCTTGTTTAACATTACTACTGTATTTTTAATCACCTGCATGCAAGGAGGCTTTTCTGGACTTTGGTGACCGAAGTTATTGTGTGTTCCGTGACACAGGAACAAAATAATTGTCAATTTTTCTTGAAAAAGAGGCCAGTTGGTCAGCCCAAATGGGAAGATACAGGTCCTGATTATGTAATTTATTCCTTGCTCAGTAGGTGGCAGTCAGAACTTACATGGAAATGGTTCAAGCATCCTCTTTCACTGAATAGAAGTAACCTACAATGCTCCTTTGGGTCAGTATTTCCCATTTTAAAGAACAGCATTTCTGCAAGTATTGAGGACCCAATTGGCAAAAGAAAACTCAGGACCATATTGGTTGAAAACATGTGGAAGAGGCCTTCATCCTGCAGTGGTTAGACAGACAATGGCTAAAATGATTTCTACTTGGGCTGTTGGTTTGATCTCAGCTTGGCAATTTGGCTGCAAACATTTTGTCTCCATTGGGGGAGGGGACATCTTCAGTGCACTTTGAATTGTGCTCATCTGTTTGTATTATCTAAAATGGTGTGGATGTTATTTGTCCGGATGTTTCTGAGTCATAGTCTGGGTTCGGGCTGTTTGATGTCTACTTAGTTGTCCTGATAGTTGAAAAAGGCAGTATGTAAAAAAACAGAAGTGATTACAGGTAATCCTCAGCTTATGGCCACAATTGGCACCAGAATTTCAGTTGTTATGCAAAGTGGTTTTAAGTGAGTCATGCCTGATTTTATGACCATTTTTGCCACAGTTAAGTGAATCACAGCAGTTAAGTGAATCATATGGTGTTAAGCAAATCTGGCTTCTCCCATGACTTTGATTGTCAGAAGCTGGCTGAGAAGATTGCAAATGGCAATCACATGACCCTGGGATGCTAAAAATGTCAAAATACATGCCAATTGTCAAACCCCTGAACTTTGATCACATGACTATAGAGAGGCTACAATGATTCTAAGTTTGAGTACTGGTCGTAAGTCACTTTTTCAGTGTTGTTGTAACTTTGAATGTCACTAAATGATTGGTTGTAAGTCAAAGACTACCTGTATTTTTTTTAGTCCGGGTGAATTGGATGGGATTAGGTCATATGTCCCTTTGGCAAGGCTGTGAGATTATATGAATAAACTGTGATAATTAAAATAGAAAGCAGTGAAGGTTAAAACATTATAGCTAGTGATAATGAGGGTGAAAAATGTGCTTGATGTATTTGTACAAACATTTACAATCGACAGATGGTTTCTTTTGCTCCCACAATAAGCGATAGAGAAGAGAAACAGTAAATCTTGTAATTCCCTGAAACTATTAAAGCAAAAGTTTTTAATCCATTTCTATAGACACACAAAATGTTATTTGACATATGGATAACATTATCATCATCATGCACTCACAAATTTGTCCAGAAAAGAAAACTATGAGGTCACCTGGAAATGAATTACAAATATACATACTACATATGTTAAATCTTAAATCTGCAAAATGACTGACAACTTTATATAGATTCTAGTCCTATTATATTAACTAACTCTTGTACTTGGACTCATTATTTTGTCTAGAGGCACAGATGTTAGAAATGAACTGAAATTGATGTTTCCATGTGACAGTATCTCTATAAAATTCGTATATTTGAGAATGTAGAAGTGACTTGAAATATTTCCTTATTTCAAAAAATTCCTCTCCAGATATTCCTAAACTAAAACACCAACAACCTAAAATAATAGTCAATGATAGTGAAGAAAATTGAGGGAACTATAAACACCCCATCCTTTATTCTCTGAAAGATAATAGACAAAGTTACTCCACTCAAAAATATAGTAGGAAGGTAGATACAAATGTCTATGGAAAAGAAAAAAAAATGAGGATTATCACTTACCAAGTGTTTATGTCCCAAGAGAGCCAGTTTTGTGTAGTGATTTAAGGCATCAGGATTAAGGCATGAGCCTAGAAACTGGTAGACAGTTCTGCCTTAGGCCAGCTGATGACCTTGGGGAAGGTCACTTTTTCAGTCCCAGGAAAAAGGCAAGTCACCTCTCAAAAATAGCCAAGAAAATTGCAAGCATTAGATCAGGCAGTTGCCAAAACAGTTGTCAGAAGTCAAAAACTAACTCAAAGGCACCAACCCTCCCTCCCCCCAACTTTTTTGATAGGATGTGTGCAATTACTGGGTAGATATATATCTTTATTATATGTTCGGAGACACACAAACAAAAATATTTCTCACTGTAGCCAACAGCAACAGGGTAACATTTAAGCAATTATTATAAAAGGACTGGACACAAACATCTAGAAAACAAAACAAAAAGACCCTAAATTAATTCAGACATACCACCTGGTAAATTAATTGTCCTGCAAGACAATTTGAATGAGCCAAATTCCCTCCTTGCATCACCAGGTTTATTTATTAAACCTATTTCTATGCAGCCACAATCAAAACAAGTCTCAGCAACTCACAAAGAAAACAGCAGAGTTTAAATACAAAAATAAAAACATAAAAGGCTACCTCATTACAAAGAGAAGAAAAAGATGACAAAGTCAAATCAAATCAAAACAAATCAAGAGAAGGGTGCCTGAAACAGATTCTAAAGCTTTCTCCCATCCCCTCTGCTCTACTCCCCCCCCCAAGTAGGCATGGCTCTCCAGTCATTCTTTTATATAGCTACTGAAAAAAAATACTTTAAATCTTCTTTGTATAGGTGGTTACATCATTTTAAAAGTAAATTATCAGTGGAGACATTATTTGGTGCTTAACCTTGTTAAGCTTTGATAAAACACTGACTACAGTTGTATATATGTACATATATCCCTGGCAGTGAAGCTGAGTTCCTATGTTGCTTTAAGCTATGGTTTATTTAGCTATGGTTTATTGCCTTAGTTGTAACTGGTTAACATACTATGCTTGCTGACAAGCCATGGTTTGCCACTCTCAGAAGCACTAAAGGCACTAGACTCAAACACATTCAAATAAGATTTTTTAATGTAACCTCAGTTGCTCAGATTTATAAATTTGGGTTTGTATGTGATTTGTAAAAAAAAGCCAATTGTACTTCATCAACAACCCACTGTTAGATAAACAATATCTACTTAATACAATAAATCAGTTAATAGGTATGGGTGCAATTGAGTGCAGCTGACCTTCATTTGGAATGTATTCACACAACACTAAGCCAAAATGCTGAATAAACTCAGCCAATGTGATTTCTCTAAACCTGATTTGCAACTATGTGAACTGAGCCAGTTATGGTTTATTCAGCAAACTTGGTGAAGCATAACTTCGCATGTTGCATTATTTTAATTTTTCTGCGTTCCTTCCCACAAGCACTCACCATAAAGTGTAGAAACACACTTCCTTTGATAGCAAAATCAAGGCGAATGTTTTAAAAAGATTTTTCATTCCTTTTTTTTAAAAAAAAAGAGCAAAAGCCAGCAGAATGGAGGCGCTTCACCTCTTCAATGCATCCTCACTCTTTCATTCAGGGACCCCAAACGTCTCCGAAGGCCCAACAGTGCCCCCTCCCCAAATTCTCCCGTATCCGGGGTTTCCATAGAAACAGGGCCTGTTTTTCTGCCAGCAGTAGATTAGCTCACTGGAAGGGAGTCAAGATGGGTCAGGCCGGGGAGGGGTGGGAAGAAAAGGCTTCGGAGGGGGGAAGAGGCGGAGGGAAAAGAAAGGGTGGTAATAACATCCTAAGCTTTGAATAGGGAGCGAGAGCGCGCCGCACGCTCGGGGGTTGGGGGGCGGGGAGCCAAAGCGCTGATGCTCGCGGGGAGGAAACAGCCGCCAAAGGACGAGCGAAATCCGGGCAAGGGAGCAGCTGCCAGGGACGGAAAGCGGAGCGGGTTCCTCGCAGAGCGCCCAGCGGAGAAGGGCCAGTTCGCAGAGAAGAGACGGAGCGGGAGGGAGGCGCGTCCTTCGGAGCTGCGAAGGGCTAACAAAAGGAAGGGAGAAGGGGGGGGGGGCGAGCGAGCTATGCTATCTGAGGCGGCCGCGGCCCCGCCGAGATTGGAGCGCCACAACATGAGGACTGAGAGCAATCCGCGGACCCTCGTGGAGCAAGGTAGGTCGGCGCCGGGGCGGCAGCCACGCGCCCTTCTGAGCTCACCGCCTGCGTCGAGGGAGGCGGGAAGTGGACGGGGGGGCGGCGGCGGAGGAATTCCCCATGGACTCTGGAAGAAGCGGAGGAGGGGGAGAATGGGATTTTGTGAATTCCTCCACGCGGGGAAACTTGGCTAGTGGAATCGATGCGGCGAGGGTGGGGGCTGGGGTGTATGTTTTGCTGGGTGAAGCCGTGCTGGAGAAAGTGTGCGAGCGACGTTTTTACGCGCGGGATGGCGCGAACGGACGAGCTGGAATAACGGGGAAAGGTCCCGGGGGAGGGGAAAGAACGAGGGGGTGCGCTCGTTAAGGTTGGGGTGATCTTTGGGTATCACGTTCCGGGACTGATGGATGTTTGGGCTCTCCGGAGATGGAAGGGCGGAACGCGGGATAGAAAGAGGAGGATTTGGTGTATTGGATTCCCCAGAGCTGAGGAAGAGTGACCGGCTGCGAAAAGATGCTGGTGCTCGCTCCTTCTGGAAATGGTTAGTTTTGCTACTAGGTACATGGAAAGGACCGCTTGATTGGGGGAAGGGGGTGCCCTTTGTGTTTCTTAATTCCGTGTTTCCCCAAACGGCTTCCTCAAAGATGCTAAAACTTTCCAGGGATCTCTTTATAAAGCAGTTCCAGGGTTTGGATACAGGCCTATTTGATTTTAAATCTATTGGGACTCAATTTGCACTTTGGTACCATATCTCCAGGTGTCAAAATAAGCCCTCCTACATGGAATGGGACTTGCTTCCGAACCACATGTGTAGAATTACTCTATGCTTTTCTATAAAAATTTTCCCTAACCCCTGCCTGTACTAAATAAATAATTTGGCCTTTGTGATGTTTTCAAGAAGTTGAATTGAGGAGTGATAGTGTATCTAAATTTAAAAAAAGAAAAGCTCTGAAGGAGTGTGGTGAAAGAATCAGAGGTAATTCTTTAAGTTGGATAAAACCTTGCTATGAAAAGAGTAGTAAGTACAGTAAGTGTAAAGGGGTGGGAAATTATTGATTACAGATTCCTAGGCTGTTTCTTTGTTGATGAAGTTTATTGGATAATAATTCCTCCATTTCTTAAAGAAAATGATTACATGGAAGGGACCATACAATAGCTCAGGGCTGAAGGGTAGAAACATTGGTGCTCTCAGAACTTGGTTGTTTGCTTGCAGGCATTTCACTACCTGACTAGGGAACATCATCAGTGTTAGTGAGTGTGGGGTCAATAGACGCATAGAGATAAACCACATTTACATATAATTCAAGTGAGATAATTAAAACTAAGAAACAAAAAGATCACACTACATCTTCTCCATCAGCCAACATTTAGATAAGCAGAGATTAATACCGGACAAACAAGCAAAACAACCCAAAATCCTGAGGATAAAGGTTCATTCTCCGAGCTTGAGGGTTAGTTTCCAAACATTTCATTATCAAACTAGATAACATCTTCAGCGTTATTCACATCAACACTGCTGAAGATGTTACCTAGCCTGGTAAGGAAACGTTTGGGAATGAACCTTCACCCTCATCTATACCGAGCTACAAAAATTCAGCACTATTGCAAAAAATACCATAGTCAGGGAACTTCTTTTTCTTTGTTCAGTCAATACATAGATAAGCAAGGATTAACACCAGACAAACAAGCAGAAAACAATACTTTAATCAAGGAACTTTTTTCTTTCTTCAATCCTTCATATGTGTTTGAGTCTGAAAGACTGCCTATGCAAGTCCCTACAGTTTTCTTAGGTTTTTCAAAGTGGCTTGCCATTGCCTCCTTTCTAGGGATGAGAGAAAGTGACTGGCCCAAGGTCACCCAGCTGGTTATGTGCCCAAAGTGGGACTAGAACTCATGATCTCCGAATTTCTAGCTTAATGCCTGAACCACATCCCTACCAAAAATAAGGCGAACTACTGTATATAAACATGGATCAAACCTCACACTCATGACCCCTGCTGATGTTCCCTAGTTGGGTGGTAAAATATCTGCAAGTAATCAAGCTCAGAGAGCACTAAGGACTCTGCAAAACAATGCAATCCTGGAAATAGACGGAGAAATAAGTTTTGCGATGACAGTTTTAGTCCCTCTTGAGCCACCTGTAAATTCTTTTGTATGTTTCTGTGTTCACACATGCAGGTATTCTGACACACCCATTCCTGCTCACAACCTCATCAGAATGTCTGTTGGTAAAGATGAATCTAGATTCCAATTATACTTTTCTATAGTGAAACTGAGAATTGCTGGATAGTTAGAAGGAGATGGTGCATTTCAGGTGGAAGTTATTAGGCTACTGTTCGTAAATAGTTGCCATCTGGCAATTACCATTTAGCTTTTAAGCAATGGAAATATGGCAGTGTTTTGATTGGAGATACCCCTCCAATCTTTTGCCTACCCCCTCCCCAAATATTTTGTGTGTGTATGTGTGTGTTTGGAAATGACAGATTTTCTTTCACTAGAGAATTGTAATATTTGTTGCATCATGTCAGAGCATCTTGGATGTAGCCATGAAATGTTCCATAACTTTGTGCAGTGTTTTAAATTTCTAGCACCAGATGCTTAAGTAGAACAACAGAGACACGCATTTTTCCACTAAATTATAACATTATAGGAAAGAATGTGTGTGTGTGTGTGTGTGTGTGTGTGTGTGTGTGTGTGGATGGGGTGGGGCGAGGTGGGATGTGATAGAGTGAGGAGGAAGAAGCCAACACATTTCTGAGACCTGCAGGAATGGCTTATTTCTATCTTTATCTTTCTACAGATCTCAGTTGCCTCTTTTTTTTTTCATCTTCAGGTACATGCTTTGTGCTTTTTTTGGTATCCTGGAATATAATTTTAATTTTAATCCTCTAATTGTCAACATTAGACAATTTAGGGGCAGAGCTGAACTTAAGATGGAGGCATTGCTATTTTAAAAATACATGGTGTGGAAGTTAAGTCCATTAGATCAGGGGTCCCCAACCCCCCAGTCCGTGGACCAGCACTGAGCCCCAGCATGCCAGCAACCGGGCCGCATAAACAAGCAAAGCCCCATCCATGGGATGCAGGCAGGAACAAAACCACGCCCTCTCTGGTCCATGGAAAAATCTTTCTTGACAGAACCAGTCTCTGATGCCCAAAGGGTTGGAGGCCTTTGCATTAGATGTTTGAACTGAAGAATAGAGGGTATCCTTGCAGCAGATGCTCTCTTTGATTGGTCTTCAGTATTTCCTTCTGATCTTTTTAAGAAGAAATCAACCATAGAAATAATAATAATAATGATAATGATGATAATGATGATGATGATAAAGTTGGAATGGACCTTGGAGGTCATCAAGTCCAACCCCCTGCTCAGGCAGGAAACCCTACACCATTTCGGACAAATGGCTGTCCAGTCTCTTCTTAAAAACTTCCAGTGTTGGAGCATTCACCGCTTCTGGAGGCAGGCTGTTTCATTGGTTAATTGTTCTAACTGTCAGGAAATTTCTCCTTAGTTCTAGGTTGCTTCTCTCCTTGCTTAGTTTCCATCCGTTGCTTCTTGTCCTGCCTTCAGCTGCTTTGGAGAATAGCTTGACTCCCTCTTCTTTGTGGCAGCCCCTGAGATATTGGAACACTGCTATCATGTCCCCCCTCGTCCTTCTCTTCGTTAAACTTCATTAAATACACAACCCAGATGCTGAATGAGCCACACATCCCTTCCCCACAGACTAGCTTCTCAAAGAGTTGCCAACAAATTGCAATCATGTGGCAGAAGGAGAAATTATTAAATACACAGAATAATATTTTCAAGCATATTTCATGAATATAATGTAAATTAAATATGTTTTGGTTACCTCCTCCCACCCCTAATTTTTATGTCCTGGTCTGTCCTTGGGTATGTTATCAAAATGATATATTCAGCTCATTATCCCAACCAAGTTGGCATATTGTATTGTAGGTTGGATATATGTGATTTCTTTCTTCATGGTAGGATTTGCCTGCAATGTGAAGAAGCTTTTTGCAACCTACAGTAGCGCCTTCCAGATGTGTTGGGCTGCTATTCTAGAAGTTCTGTTCTATGATTTTTGAGAGTTTCAATCTCAAAACTACGTGGGGAAATTGACCTAGAGAATTTTCTCTTGTTTAGTATTCTTGGTATAACCAAGTTGTATCTGCAGTAAGATGCTGGTCTCTTTGGCCTGCTCTGCTCGTGTAAAACAGGTAGCCTTTGACTTAGAACCGTTCATTTAGTGACCATTTGAAGTTACAACACACTGAAAAAGTGACTTATGACAATTTTTCATACTTATGACTGTTGCAGGATTCCCATGGTCATGTGATCAAAATTCAGATGCTTGGCAACTCTCATATATATGAAGGTTGCAATGTCCCAAGGTCCTGTAATCACCTTTTGCGACCTTCTAACAAGCAAAGTCAATGGGGAAGCCAGATTCACTTAACAACCATGTCTTAATGACTGTAGTGATTCACTTAACAACTGTGACAAAGGTCTTAAAATGGGGCAAAATTCACTTAAGAACTTTTCACTTAACAACAGAAATTTTGAGCTCCTCAGTTGACGATTACCTGTACATTTATAATACATATGGAGAAAAAATATAGATGCAGAGATTGTTATCAAAGAGACCAAGAAATGGTTAAGATTAAATGGTAAGGAAGACGCAAGAAGACCTTTGGTGGAGATAAAAAGTGCTTAAGAAATGGTTAAAGAGAGCTAAACAAGGAACTCTAACAGTGTGAAATTAAAAATAAAAATGAAGTACTGCACAAAATTTCTTTCAATCAGGTACATATTCCATCCATTGTCTTCCCCATCTAGTAATCTGGATGTAACTGTGCAATTACAAACAGTTGTGCAGCCATTCCCTCTTCTTGCTGCTCCCACTTACAAACTAAAACCTCACTAGCATTCTGAGACTGCATATTGAAGTGTTTAGGGAAAAGGTTCGTGAAAAAGCTTCTTCCCTTCCTCCCACCTCCATAGACATTCCGCATCTGGG